AGTACCATGCTGGTACTATCGATTCTGTATTTTCATTACGGGGGAGTGAAAGTGCTTTTTGAAAACTAGGAGCCAGTTCAAAAGGTCAAAACTGGAGAATAATTCAGCTCATTCTTGTGTTATTTCAATAGAGCTTTTAAATACCATTTTCAAACAATTATTTTTATTTTCCAATATCTCGGTATCTCCCAATAAGTGCAGCAGCACTTATTGACACAGGTCAAACAGCCACTTCCACACAGAAATCCAAAAACAGAAATCCTGTCTGCCAGGCTAGGATACCTGGCAATGGTCATTGATTGCTTTACTTGGGCAGCCCGGCCATTCTTTTGTGATGGTAAATACTTTAATTCCTGGATCCTGGTCACAGGCTCATATTCATACACAAAGACACCCTAAAGACAGGCAAGCAAAATACAATGGAGAGGCTTTCCCATTTCCTTCCTCCTTGCAGAGAAACATTTGAGGTCAATTTGGGAGAGTCAAAATGGTTTCAGGATTGCTCTCCTGTACTATTTCAGACACATGGTTTATATACTTATGTGTTTGCCTTTTAATTTATGAACATTTAATTTATATATTTGAGACCTTAAATTCTTATAATTCTCTGTTGTCCATGTGACTTTGTCCTCCAAATCACTGCTTTCCTACACTTTCCTCTGTCTCAATCTGGATTTTCTCATATCCTCTCCCCTTTTGGAGCATCCGTGGTATGAGAAAGTCCAGATCAAGGAAGGTCAAAAGTGTGGGAAGGCAGTGATTTGGAGAATCACTGCAGCCATATGGACCACAGAGAATTAACGGGAAGCTTACTACCCACATTAAACAACAGTGAGGATGAGCCTTAGTGTCTCTTTGTGGGTGCTTCCCTTCTATTGCATTCTGCTTAAATTGGAAACTCATAGCTTAAGCTATAGCTGTGTGTGTGTGTGTCCGTCCCTTTGATCTATTTTAATGGATTACTTGCAGCAAGGGTTTTTCCCTGCTTCAGGGCTCCTGACACACAAATAAAGAGCCTTTTGTGTTGACTTGAATTAAAGTTGAATAAGCCTGGTAAACATCTGGTAGATCTTACAGGAACAGCAGGAGACACAAAAGCTGACAAGAGTAGCTGCCCTATGGGAAGTCTCAGCTTTCAGATCTGCATAAGGAAGAACAATGCCAAAGTTGTATTTCCTCAAAGCGCCTTGACAAAGGCTGGAAAGAACAAGCCAGTGAAGTGATGTCCGCCGCTTGCCAATTTTGGCAACGTGTCCGAATGTTCACGGAGGCAACACCTTTAACAATAAAAACAACTCTGCGTCCATATGGTGAGGAATATCATAGCTGCCCTCATGCAAAACGAAAACCTGCTACAGCAAGAGTCTGTTGAAAGTCTTTCGTTATCCCTATGGCAACAGCTGAAGCAAAAAGCTGATCTCGGGACAAGTGGAAAATATGTTATGAGAAAACCAGACATTCCAAAGGGGAGGCAGAGGAAAAGGATCTCTGCAATTTACCAGGAAAAGTATGCTGAAGTTACCGTTCAAAACATGTGGAAAGAGAGCCAAGTAGCACAAAGGGAACGATAACAAAGGAGGGGAAAGGTAAACTAGCTGGCTCTGGTCCTTGCGAATTCTGTGGAGAGTAAAGGTAAAAAGGGGACAACTGAGCAGGCTAGCCATATCTCATGGCCAAGCTAGCCGTATCTCGCATTTCTAACCACACGCTCCAAAGTAATTACAGTCTAATCTAGATGAGGATTCTTTAGGGTTATTTCTGCGTATAAAGGTACCCCTGCCCGTATGGGCCAGTCGTGTCCGACTCTAGGGTTGCGTGCTCATCTTGCTCTAGAGGCCGTGAGCCGGCGCCGTCCGAGGACACTTCCGGGTCAAAGATTTGATTGAGGTTCTTCTGATAGGAGCAATTCAGCTGGAGAACTGCTTGAAAGAGCATCTCCTTTGCATGCAGAAGGCCTCTAGTTCCATTCCTGGCATTGCCAGATAGAAAGAACCAGATGGAAATCTGAAATCTTGGAGAGTCCCTGCCAGTCAGGGCAGATAATGCTGAGCTAGATGGAGCAGTGATCTGACTCGGAATAAGGCAGCTAACTGGATTTTCCTTCTCCCCCCCCCCCCCAGCCCTTGGAGAGTTAGAGTCAATACTTACTATGGCCCTGGGGACACCCTCCCAGGGACCACAGGATTACAAATAATTATTTCAAAAATGACTGGCACATCACATATGCTCAATACATCTCACTGTGTCAGTATAGATCAGTACATCATAGGTTTTCTCCAGATAGTTCCTGCCTCCTTATTTCTATTTACATCTATAGTGCTTTGGGTTTGTTTTGCTAGTGTTGCTCCTTGCACGCTGTCGTCCATTTTGTATTATATGCCTTTTAGGCAGCTCCACAATCGCAGAGAACATGCTTAGTTAGGCTTTCTCCTCCATGGCCTGAGGGCAGTGGGGATGCTTTAGGTCAGATCTATGTGTTCGACTGAAGTGCGTAAATCCAGCATGCTCTGAGCCAGAGTTGTTCATTTTGTCTTCAAGGTCAGCCACAATGGTGATAATAACTGATGACCTTTACTTCTAGAAGTCCAATGGCTAAAGAGCAGTGGTAATTTCCCAAGGATGATTGTTTTCTCTTTCCACAAAAGCCAGGATTTTCTCAAGAGTTTCAATCTCCTGCTGTTTCCTCCAGGTTTTCTCACCCCTTCCAGAGCAGCCTTTTAAAGCCTCTTCTATTTCCTGTTCTTCCTCCTCTCTTGGCTCTTAACAGAGTGCATCTGTTTTCTCTGTTTAGGTTACTGAAACTGTCTACTAATCTAAGATATGCACCTTTCAGTTTATGCTCCTCAGTGTTGTTTTTAATCCAGCAATTGCTTTTCTAGCAGCTGACCTAAAAGCACCTCACCCCCCAAATAGGCCAATATTTTCCTAGCCAACTGTTACATGCACAAAGGGCATACAGGAAGTGCCAAAAGTGGCAATTAATGACATTGCTATACGTTAGGGATGGGGAATCAGTCTAGGGGCAGCATTCTATCCTGGACAACCTTCTAAGGACTACATGCCAATGGTAGATGGGATCCAATGGCAGAAGTGGGTGGAGCACTGGATGTGGCACTTACCTTTGTCCAATAGGCCAAATCTCCCCATTGCCCATTCAAACAAACAAGATGAAATATCACAGTCCAATGACACATGCCAGCCAGGAAAAAGTGCTTGAGGATGAAATGGAGCAGGGTCAGTGAGGGGTATAGACTGTGGAGAGTGGTGTGACCAGAGGAGGAGTTGTTTGGCTCTGGAGATTCCTGCATTTGCCGCCCATGCGTAAGGTTGCCCTCCTCTGATTTACACATATTTCGGGTAAGGGGAACTTGTAGTCCAACAACATTTGGAGGGCCACAACTCCCATCATTCCTGACCCATGGCCATACTGGTTGGGGCTGAAGGGACCCAGAATCGAAGCACATCTGGAGGGTCACAGGTTCCCCATCACTGGTATAGTAGTAATCTCAGAATGAGACACCCAGAAATATGTTTTAGAGGGCAAAATCCTTGAAGGACATCCCAGCTCTGTCTGCAGTGTATGTTTAGGCAATGTGATTGCGTTGGTATGGCGGGAACAATACTCATATCTAAACTGATTAAGAGGTTTGGAGAATGTTTCCATGGGAGTAATACATCGCAGATAAGCAGTATCTAGTGTGCAGGCCCAAACCATGAAATGGAAAATATGAGATGACAGAATGTCTTTTCAGTATGCTACTCATCCTTTTACATGTTCTGAATTTGTTTCTTGGGTGAAATCTATGGTGTCTTGGGCTATTTAAAGGACTCTTACACCTGTCTAGGTAAGACAAATGGGTAACTATAGTTTATGAATAATTAGGAATTATCCTATGTAATATTTATATGAACATGATATTAGCAAGAGGAAACTAAGTCTGGAAAACATAGCTGAAATGTAGACAATGGGGGTTCTGGTCTATTACCATACCAAAAGATCTTCACATCTGTGAAAGTTGAAAGTGTACAGAATTACAAAGAACAATGCTGATATGTTTCCGGAGTACAAGCTGTACCTTGATAGTTCTTGGTGTGAAGCACAGGATCAAAACTCTGGGATGGTGCCCAGAGAACATCTGATTCATCCCTCAATATAAAGTTAGCCTCTCATAATACAATCTAAGTAATACTGAAAGGGGCTTAGAAGTAGAGAGCTGGTGAAGAAGCCTTCAAAGTTAGGGCTGCCATACGTCCGTATATTACCAGGATTTCAAAGGTGACGTCTGGGGTGAATTTCCGAGAGGTGGTGCTGTGTCCTGGATCTTCGGCAAGTCAGTTGAAAAAATGTTGTTTTTTTGCATTAGCTCAACTTTTTGGGTGTCATGGGCTTAACTTTTTGAAAAATGGCAACTCTAACAAAGTGAAGAGTTCACTTTCCACATGATCTAGATGCCCCTGAGGCCTTGTTCTGTTGAACGGTCAGTTTAAAATGTGAAGGTTCATTATTGTTTCACAAGTTGTGTATGTCTTTAAGGGCGAGGGCCAGGGTAAATAACGAGACCCAGTCTTACAGCTGTGAAACATAGCAGGTGCTGCTAGGTTGTGTTAATCAAGCTGTGTCAGCAATTGGGTATAATATATAAGGAGCAGCACCTAGCTCTCCCATTACCCTGGGGGATGGGTTGGTGGTTGGGTCTGGTTTGTTGTATAAGGAGTTTTTGTTTTTGTTATTAAAACCTTGTTTAAGTTATTTTTGAGTCCCTTTTTAATGCATGGTCTCCCCAGCAAGCTCTCTGCAGCGCTACTAAACTGCAAATAGCCAGCATGTTCATGTGTGTGCAACTGTTGAAGCCAGGCAGGAATGCCATTAACTCAACAGCCCAATTGGTAAATGTGTGCCTGGTTACCTGTAATTAGTGATATTGTCCTACATCAACAGGGCACACCATGCACTGACAAACTGACATGCAAGCAGATTCATTTAAATAATTACCCATGACTCTTTTAAAAAATGTGACCTGTTTATTGTAACTGAGAAGCATTCATAACAGTGCAAACAATTCTTTGGTAAATTTATTTAGTACAATAAAAATAACTAAGACTTCACTTTTGGTAGGAGTTTTTTTTTATAAAAAAAGTAAATAAATATGGAACAATTGCAACTGAAGAAATACTGAGAGAAATGATCATTCGGCCATTGGCCACTGTCTTAAAATGTTACATAGGCTTTAATCAGAAAATGTAAAAAGAAAAAGAAAAACATATTCATTTGTACAATGTTTGAATTTTTTTTTTTAAAAAAAGACCTATTTCCTAATCCAGTTTACCACCAGAGGTTTAGTGGTAATAAATGCTGGAATCTGTATAATTTTACATAATTTGGCAAATACTGATTAGATATCTGCTTTATTTAACAAGGGAAAACAGAGGTATATTTGGTTAATGAATACATGGAAAATACTAAAGTGGCCGACACTACAATTGTATACAGAAGTAGGACCCATTGAATTTAATGGGGCTTACTCTCAGGTATGTGGTTATAGCATTACAACCTAAAATACCTGAGCAGGTTTTTTCCCCTCCCCTCTTTTAAAACAATACAGAATTGAAAATTAAGGGTGATTGGTAACATTAAAAAACTTCCTCTAGCCACCAATATGCTTGTTATCGTTCTAGCCCTTGTTTCGAAATCTGTCCAAGTTTGTAAGAATTTTAGATAGCAGCTTGGAAAGCACAGGTGGGATCTGGATTTTCAATAAAACAAAATATTTTCGTGCACTGAAAGACCTTAAGAATTAAACTCCAAATTTAAATATAACACATAAAAATAGGTATTTTGCTGTAATGGCACAAAGCCAAATATTTGTGTATGAAATTGCCTCACAGTACAAACCTGTGCATGTTTACTCAGAAGTAAGTCCCTCTGTGTTTCATGGAGTCTTCATAGACTGCAATCCAATCCCATCCCCATTAGTTAGCAATTTAAGATAGAGTGCAGGGCTCTGTCCACTTATGTTGTGTGTATGTCCATTTGTAGCAGAGGTTGGTATGCTGCCAATAAGTCCTGAAACAGGGAATTTCAAAGCAAGGTGCCAGAAACTTTGAATCTTTGGGATCCAAAGCCCGCAGAACCCTCAGCAGCCTAGTTTTAAGCTCCTCAGCTATTCCAGCCTTGGCAGTGGAAGAGCAAAAAAATGTAAAAAAAAACCCCAACCCCATCTTCAGCTTTCCATCCTGGCTGGTTAGGGCTTTGGCTCTCAGGCTCCTATTGTCCCTGGTCTGGTTATGATTGCTCTGTAAGTGTGTTTAGGATTGCAATCATGATGCTGTATGCACTCCATTTTGCTTAACACCACCATATAGAGACACAGTTGCTGTCTCCACCAAACAGGTTTCTTGGCTAATTTGGAAATGCACAATATGATAGATAGCAAATGATTTATGCGAGGGAGCTGATGTACCAAAATATTATTAGACTGGCTTTATTTAATGCACTTCTGTGTTATCAAACAAAATTATTAAGCAAGTTCAAAAGGTTCCTGTATTTGCCCCCTCCCCTCTTTTTCGATATGGCATTGCTTTTTTAAGTCCCTGATCCTTAAATCCTAATGATTTAACTTAGCAATCAGTGACTTTGTCTTTAGCATTGGTTAGAAAAGAGAGTGAGTGTGTCAGGACTTGAAGAACACTGCTATATTCCAGGGAATTAAGACTTGTTTTCTGGAAAAGCGCCATTTAAGAAACCAAACATGTCTGTCAAATGAGGTATGAGAGTTTTCCTTCACTGTATGTAATAATACATGTTGGTTATAAAGAGGCAAAGTTGAAAATACAAAGGTAAACAATGGCAAGTTAATGTAGACGTACATTCGACAGTGCTTTTTTTTAACCTCTTAACTGGGCACACAGATTCACAAAAAAGTAATCATTAACATGATTTTGACACAAGGACTATGGGGGCGGGGCGGGAAACAGGCACTATGCATTATGGAAAAAAAACCTTAAATGAAACCATATTTTAAAAATAAAGTTTGTAAAGGAACAGCTAATCTCTATTTGGTAGGCCTTCTGTCGGATGGGTTTTTCACAAATCACGCCATGGTACAGCTACAGGAGCAATTTTTTTTAGAACAATTCAGTAGGTAGGTGTCATTTAGTGCCCTTCACTAAGCTCTGCTTCACTATAATTTCTCCACCCCCTTAGTTTAAATGGGCCTGCCCTTTTCTATCTGCACACCTTTGTTTTTACTTTCACATTCCATGACAATACCATGGAATACTATACTAGAAGATAGAAGAGGATGCGTACACCGTACCCCTTGAGAAATAAGATGCTGGGGAACGATACACTTTTTAACAACCACACAAGGCAGCAGAAATAGGACTAATGAAGCTTTCACAATCCTTGTACCTTGATTCCAAGATAATCCAAATTCACTGACAGGCAGCTATTAATGGGGAACGGAGTCTCCCTTGGAAGACATGTGGCAGCTTCAGGCACAATGCAGGACCTAAATCGAGAGTGAATCTGACACAGGTCTGATTCTTGGGGGTGGGGATGCCCATTCAGCTATGCTTTTTAAGAGCAAAATGACTCCAAAATTAGCGGGCATCATATTAAAAACAAAAGGTTGCAGCATGGAGGGCTTCTGTTCACTGTTCCCAGTCAGTTAGACATGCCCCCCATGTCTCCCATTTTATTTCCTCTTGCACATGATTTTTCTACCACTGCAACAGGAATTTAGTATTCTATGGCAAGTCAGGATGCACAGACCCCATTGGGCAGTCTTTGCCTCACATCCCAATTTCAGGGATTTCCCCTTAATATTAGTATACGTCTCCAAACCTTGGGAATCCTCCAAGCCAGCTAAAAACACTCTCTCTCTCTCTCTCGTATATGTGTGTAGTGCCATTTTCACAATATAAGCTACAACATTTGCATCATAGCATCACAAATAGAGGGAATTATATCTGCTAGAGCTCACCAAAGTTCAGTCCTTGCATCCATTCAAGCAGCAGCAGGGGATATATGAAGTATTCCAGGGGAAGGCAATCTTGAACAGGTGGAAATGCTACCACTGAGTAACTACAGAGAATTTCTATATGTAGGGGTTTTTCCCCCAGCTGGAACTCAAGTTCCAGCACCTCTCAGGTGGGTGCCATTGGCATTTTAAGAGAACAAGGGAGGCGTTCATGCTGAGTTCATGCCGGCACCTCTTTTTCTAGAAAAAATATCCCAGGCATTAAATGTTCCAGATGGGACGATGGTGCTTTTGGAAATCTGAGTTCTAGAATGTATTTCCCCACCCCTAGAAATTAAGCTCTGATAAGAGGATTTGCTATTACTGTACTGCTTCAGTGTCCTATGGTTTGCAGTGCTGGAGGGGTAGGGCATTTTATCCCATTTATTACATCAGATAAGCAGTAGGAACCCTCTATGGTCCAATCCAAACAATATTTTCTCAAGGGCAAACACTGCAAATGAGGCCAGAAGTGTCCAGAAAAGTCAGGTAAGTCCTATCTCAGGTTTAGCTCAATGTGCAGTAGTCAGAGCAGCCTCTTTTTTGTTATTGCTGTTGTAATGCAGCAGTGCCTTTTCTTTCATGAGTACACAGACTTTTGAATTATGTTACACAGTGCAAGGCTGAACACATATTTTATGCCTATGATTTCTAATCATCTCCTAGGTATTGAACAGAGAAATAAAGAAGGGCAACTGTGGACAGTGGATAGGACAGAATATTAATACTGCAAAGAGATGCGGGAGAAAACCACAGCAAAATTTGTGTTCTCCATCCTCATCCTCCTTTAGAATTGGCACTGCCACAGAATATTGAGTAAATACTGAGTGAATGCTGTAAAGACATGATGTGAGTAGCTAAATAAGTAGACTATGGGTCTCAGAAAGACAAACTAGCTCCATCAAGGTATTTGACAGAAGGCAAGCTAGACTATCAACACTGGGCCCGCACAGTATTTTAAAAACAAAAGCTGTGGCCCTCTTCGTCCTAATAAATGGCTCCTGACTTCCTTTGGCCAGTGTATGGAGAAATAAAAGCCAGCCTAATAAGACTCAAAACCACTTGGCAAAGGAGTCTTTAAAAAGTAGCACCAAGTTTTCAGTTTGTTGAACCTGAGAAGATTGTCCTGTCCTGTGTATTCCCTTTCAATACTTTTACACGGTGGTTTTTCAGTGGGCAAGCATGTAAAATAATACATTTCCTTACATTGTTACACCATCATTTGAATGCTGTCCTGCAAACGTCCTGTTGTGGTTTTATGCCTAATGTTACCTGTATTTTGCCATCAGCAGATATCCATATGACTTGTATTGTGACCATTGCAAAGCAGGCTTAGAGCTTATTTTCCTTGCTAACAGTTTGTTTTAAGCAGACAGGACAGCAAACTCCTTTAAGCTTCACAGGTGTTGCACAATCGTTCGGTGGACACGATTCCACGTAACAGGTTATCTGGCCAACCTGTGTTAGGAAAATTATAGCAACAGCTTAGCACACATCCTAATAAAGTGTTCAATAGCCAGTGACATTATTCAGCAAATATCCCCCCACAACTGGCATTATGCCATGAGCTACTAAGATCACTCATTTAATCAGTTTTCTACCACAGAACCCACATTTAATCTAATGGTTATTAATGTCAGCACCGTTTAAAGTTATTGTCCCTAACCCACACTTCAATGTATTAGACTCTCTTCAGTCCAATGGACATAGAGATAATAGGTAGCTTATCCTGAAAAATCTTCAAGAGTTTGAATTGTATGAATTGTGTAATTTGAGTTAAATTGGAAGAAATTTCAGGAATCTTCTGCACTGTTTATTCAGTAATCTGCATTACCAGATTTCACTAGTTTGGGGAAGGGGTAGGAAACAGAACTCCTCTAGCCAGGCCCTACCCAAACCACACTAGCAAATTTCAACCATGCCTTTGGTTTCTGAAACATTAGCAGGCATTGCTCAAAACATTTTGCAGCTGTAAGAACTAAGGGCTGGCTCTTCAAAATAAAATAAAATAAAGCTGGGATTCTTAGGAAGCCAATTTCTGTGCCCATTTCCATACTGTTCTGGCAGTAGCTCCTTTGGTGAGAAGACAAGCCAGTAGACTGACTGAACAGAAGCTTGTCTTGCTGGCAGTGAAAACTGTTGAGGCCAAAACAGCAATCAGAGTTCCAGCTGTATTCATTAGTCACTCCTGCATGCACAAATCACTTCTTCGGTTTGCAAGTGCAAAAACTGCAATGGCAATTACCTTTATTTACAATTGAGCACACTGCAAAATCAGTATGATGTTGGAACCCTATTCATGCTTGCTTGGGAATACGCCCCACTGAACACAGCGAGCTATGTCTAGGTAAGCATGGAGACGCCATATTAAAACCAAGAAAATGAATATTCTGATTACTCACTTTGCATTCGCACGTGGTGCACGGGTCTTTTTTCCAGGTTTCGTTACTGGAATAAGATTTACCCTTTTCGTCAGTGCATTCGGTTCTACTGAGCCGTGATTCAAGTTTCTTTATCTGAAGAAAGGCAGGAAATCCTTGTTTAGCTATCTGTATACTAAAAGCGTTCCCATTACCTTTTGTAATCAAGCCAGTAAAACCACAGAAACACAGCCTTCTCTTAAGTACTCAAATTGTATCTAGTTTGTTTTACTGAGAGATGCAATCCAATAGGCTTCCTGGCTGGTTGTGGAGGCTGAAGGTCTGACATTTAATGTCACATTTCATTTGACTGTCCAAAAGCTCTGCTACTGGAGGGAATGGGGTCAAGCATACGTTACAGTCTGGTAGTTTCCAAAGTGGGTATTTCTGGTCTGTGATCGTAATAAATCAATTCATTCATTCAAAGTGGGTGGTACTGCCCCCTGGAGGGCAGTGGGGTTACCTAAGGGGGGTGGGCTCTAAGAGGTGTAAATGACTATGATACTTTGAAAACCTGGTACAGTGGTACCCCGCAAGACGAACGCCTCGGAAGACGAAAAATTCGCTAAACGAAGGAGTTTTTCGTTTTCTTAGCCACTTCGCAAGACGCATTTCCCTATGGGCTTGCTTTGCAAAACGAAGCTTGCCCCGCAAGCTCCGGGGATAGCGGGAAAGCGCAGCGCGTCTTCCCCGCTGTCCCCAGACCTCTTTTGAAGCAAGGGGCGGCAACGGGAAGAAGCAATCTTCTCCCCTCCGCCCCTTGCTTCAAAAGAGGGGAGAGAGGGGAAGGTGGGCGCGTCTTCCCCTCTCTCCCCGGACTCCTTTTGAACAAGGGGCGGCAATGGGGAGAAGCGATTCTCCCCACTGCCCCTTCCCTTGCTTTAAAACAGGTCCGGGGACAGAGGGGAAGGCGCGTGGCGCTTCCCCTCTGTCCCCGGACGGTCTCCATAGGAACGCATTGATTGATTTTCAATGCATTCCTATGGGAAACCGTGCTTCGCAAGACGAAAAACTCGCAAGAAGAAAAAACTTGCGGAACGAATTAATTTCGTCTTGTGAGGCACCACTGTATTACTACATCAAGTTCATCAATTTTGTTGAATTTTTTTGAACTATATTGGATTTTGGATAAATGTGCAATTAATTGCTACTGTTTTGAATTTTGCTGTGTTATCATATGCAAAAGGCCATTCTGAACAATGCTTTTTATAGGGTAGGGGGCACTGGGGGGATGAGGTTATGGAAGCAAGCAGGTGATGGCCTGAAAAGGTTTGGGAACCACTGTTCTAGGCCCAATATTTGCTGCTTGTTGATGGCATGTATTCACACATGAAAGGGCATATGTGTGTAATCGAGGATGTCCTACTCACTTCAAGAGATGGAAGCCAAGAGATGGATTTGAGATGTCCATTGTTGTGCACAATGAAGTTACATATTTATTGTATGTATATCCAGCCTTCATTATGAGGAGCTCAAAGCAACATTCATAGTTCTCCGCCACCCTCACAATAGCCCTGTGGGAATCCTTTTTTTTCTCTCTCTCTATTTGCAGTTCCCTGTATCTCAACTACAAGTGCTAGTCTTAATGCACAAGTATTCCTTCTCTCTCTCTCTCTCTCTCTCTTTTCTCTCTCTCTCTCACACACACACACAACTGGATCTTAAAAATGCTTCCACTGCCACAAGGATTCCTTCAATGAGTGGAAGGGCCTTTAATTCAGTGGGGGAAAACTGTGCTTCTTTTACCAGTTCCTTTCACCACTCTTGTGCCACCTTCTATGCCATTCCAGAGGGTCTACCAGACCACCAGTAAATTGTTTTTTCTGTGTGCAATTCCCAACCCATTCCGCAGTGGGTGCCAATAGCATATTTTCAACCCATTACATGCACTCTTTCATACAATGAGCAGGGTGCTTAAGACAGTGACTCTCCCCCCACTTACCTGGGTGTAAGCCCCATTGGACTCATGAGACTTACTTCTGATCAGACATGTATGGGATTATACTGCTGAAACACTTTCTAATATTATCTGAAGAACCTTTTTTATGTTCACCTGTTTTCTGAGGTCTGTGATAGTTTTTTGCATGTCACCAACAAATTCTTTGAAGTCATTCATGACAGGTGCTTTCTTGCGCTCGTCAAAGGATGAGATGGTGAGGTTAGAAAATTTATTCTCCCTTGCAGAACTGCAACGACAAAAAGTTAACCAGTATATTAAGCAGGAGGGGCACCCCATTTCTTTTTTGAAACGTAGATGTTCTATAAAGAAGGTTAGTTTATGAGTATGCTTATGCTATACAAATTAGGCTTAGGCATTTCAATCCCTTGCAGACACACAATGGAGGATCTAGCAATGGCAGAAAAGAATTCGGAACTTTCCACAACGGTTATGATTTCCAATGGTGACCCTTTGGTGCTGAATGAGATGCAGAGTTGATATAGTCATTAAAAGTTCTTAGACTCCACATAGTGAAGACCAGATGGCAACTGCTTTCTCCTCAAGATGTTTTTGAAATAGGTGTTGCTGCTGTAACAGAATTCCTTCACGATGTGAAACTTGGCATAAACTTTACCGCATGCAGGAAAAAAAAGAGTATGCTGATTGGCAGGTGTTCCCTTTTTGAGCTTTACATTCTGCAGACTTTAAATGTCAGTAATACATTCCAAAAAAATCAGAAGGCTAGCAGTCGTCCCCCCTCTAATAAAGTGCTTTAATCCTCTCTCCTCCCCATGTTACTTGAGATAAGGATGAGAAAGCCAGCCAAGATCAGGAAAGAGAATGCAGATTTAAAAGTCTACAGCTACAAGTGAACACATGCATTATTATTCTCCAGTGTATAAAATGTGACCTACGTAGCAGAATTACTATTTCCTCTTCCAACAGAATCTCAGTTTCACTTATAAAGAAAACTTAAGCAACACTTAATGAAAGCAGGAGAGATTGGCGCTGAAGGGAAAAAGAGCTCAGTGTAGGATGAAGTCCTAACATCCCCATTGTACTTGAATGCTAAAAACTGACCCCTTTGTAATTATAGGAGGATTAGAGAAGAAGAGCATAGGCTTGAAACAATCTGAAAAGGTTGAGCAAAGAGACATCGTTTCAGCCATTACTCACTACGTCTTTACACTTCAGCATGAAAAGATGTTACATCATTAAGGTGTAGAATGACCCTATTATTCTTTTGAAGATATATGGATATTTAATTTTATATTCCCAGTCACAGAATAGTGTATCCTGGAAACAGCAGAGCAGGAATTTCTACTCTGCAGATGCATATTTGCTTCTAAAGGTAATAATCAATACAACGAAGAACTTGATCTCTTTCCATCTCTTTGCAGCTGATGGAAGTACCGTATTTTTCACTCTATAAGACGCACCAGACCACAAGACGCACCTAGTTTTTGGAGGAGGAAAACAAGAAAAAAATATTCTGAATCTCAGAAGCCAGAACAGCAAGAGGGATCGCTGCACAGTGAAAGCAGCAATCCCTCTTGCTGTTCTGGCTTCTGGGATAGCTGCGCAGCCTGCATTCGCTCCATAAGACGCACACACATTTCCCCTTACTTTTTAGGAGGGAAAAAGTGAGTCTTATAGAGCAAAAAATACGGTATATAAAACGGTAGCATTTAAAAGGCAAAAACCAGGGTGGTTGTTTTTTTGGTGCATTCTTGGTCTTCCCTGCTTTTTTAATAACATTGTCAATTATTTAATAGTATTTTTATCACATGTTAAGAAGTGCATCATATTAATTTTAACCCTTGTTTATTGTTGTTTCATAGTGCTGAAACATGCACAGCCCCCCCTTTTTATTACCTTTGCATTTTTTTAAAAAAATGCCTCTCACTGGAAATAAGCATATGTTAAAAGACTGACTCGTAAACAAATGGAAGATTAAAGACTTGGTGATTGTCTTGGATCAGGGTTTTTAAATGATAAAGTATGAAACTCTAACAAACACTCGTACTGGCTAATTTCCAAGCATGGTATCCCATTACAGGTTTTGCAAGCTACAGACTATTTTACAAATCTGAGACCGTTGCAGTGTGTACTACACACATTTTTAAGCATCTCTCCCACCTACCATGCAACCATAGCCAAAATGACAAGAATCATACACTTCAACTTCCTAAGATATTTACATCATGCTCACATCCTCCTGCTCAGGGAAAAAAACCAGGAGGAGAGAAGGAAAGGCCAAAATTTACTTTAGGTGTGTTGTTGATGCAACTCATAAATTACTTTGCCTATGCACTGAAGGCATGATGTCATAGTCCTAGGAAGGCCCATCTATCATCCTAGGTGGAAAAAGTACACTTGGATTAGCAAAGCTGTTCAGGATATTTATGATTAAAAGCCCTGTACATTAGTAGGACATACAAGATTCTAAAAAATAAATGTTATTTGCTTTAGAACGGGGATTGTATTAATTAAAGAATCCAATAATCCTGTTCCACACTGAGAGCCAGTGTGGTGTAGTGGTTAAGAGCGGTAGACTTGTAATCTGGCGAACCAGGTTCGCTTCCCTGCTCCTCCACATGCAGCTGCTGGGTGACTTTGGGCTAGTCACACTTCTCTGAAGTCTCTCAGCCTCACTCACCTCACAGAGTGTTTGTTGTGGGGGAGGAAGGGAAAGAAGAATGTTAGCTGCTTTGAGACTCCTTTGGGTAGTGATAAAGCGGGATATCAAATCCAAACTCTTCTTCTTCTAACATGATATTCTGACATGTTTGTTGCTCCCCATTACCCAGGCTTCCCCAGTTATCTCCCTCGTAAGATGCTATGGATAACTAGAGCCGAGTGTCATCAGCATACTGATGACACCTCGCTCCAAAATGCCTAATGACCGCTCCTAATGGCTTCTTGTAGATATTAAACAGAACTGGAGATAACACACCTTTGTTGTATGATTCATATTCCACTTGGTCTTATCAAAATGATTTTGAATGGTAGCCTGGCACTCAGTGCATGAATCTCTGGAAGGATAGCAACCCATAAAAAATACAACAGCACAGAAAATGGCCGTATTTTGGATCACACAGGGGAGCCAACCTTGCAATCTGAATAAGCATGCATTTGCCCCAAATTCTTTTTCCTATGTAAGATAAAACAAGACTGGGATTCTGAATGATTGCTCATGATGCAGTAGCCAAGAAAGAGTTCTTTCTAAAGCTATTTAATTATGAAGCACTTCAAATAAAAGGAATGCAACTTTTGGAAACAAGTAAGACATATGACCTCCTAGCTGATAAGATACGGCCACATTCCTAAAATTCATGTGCTGAAGGACAAAAGTAAATAAAGACTTGCAGCTGAATGTTTGGGAGGTGTCCAAAGACTTCTGTGCCTCAGTAATAACATGGATGTTTACATATTGTCATTTTAAAAAATTAGTAAATAAGTAAATAAATAAATCCTTTACCTTGTTTTTGACATTTTCATGTGCTTTGATGGCCTGTCTTCACGGAAACTGAAATCAAGGGAACGTCTTCCTCGAAAGTGGTAAGAGAATGCATTGAACTGTCCTCTAGTTCTACAGTCTGAAATTGAACAGAATGTTATGGGATTTATGAACAAGTTTTCGGATTTTAAAAACATGTATTGTGCCCAGTAAATTGTAAGTGGCTTTATAATTTTCTGGCTTGGAAAACTGTATGGAAAAGCTCAAAATAACCTCTTCCCTAAAATCTTTTAGTGAAATATCAAGTACCTCTGTGAGAGACATACAGAGAGAGAAACTTCAGTCACAGTGAAATTAAACATCTACGGGAAGTTTGGTTATACATTGGAGGCCGAGGAAGGCAGCTGTTTGCAGGTGCTATATACTTTACCCCTTAAGAGATGGGAAGACAGGGGTGGTGAATAGTATGGGAACTCACAGCTGTGCACTAGGGTTGTGGAAAGCTTTCCTACAGTAGATTTGCTGGCTGAGAGTGGAAGAGAATGTTAGTGATGTGGTATTTACTGTTGAGAGGAGGTTTGTTCATCAAAGTTCTCTGCCTGAAAGATTTGAACAGATTCCTTTTTCAGGGGGCATCACTATGGAGATCTGTGGTTTGAGAGGGTTGGCTTATGTTGATGCTTTAAGATGTGCATTTCAGGAAAGCTCAAAAGGGCAAGAAAGCTGTCAAGGGTATTGGAACAAAAGGAAGATGAAATATTAATCACTTTTGAGAGAGAGACACACAGAGAGAAACTACTTTGCTTACCAGATTAAAACAGTAATTCTGTGGTTGCAATGGTTTGTCAAACAAGTATTGGTTTTGTTATTATGCAGAGGAAGAGCCACTTTGTTTTTCTTTTTATTACACTGCTTTAGTACTTGTTAAACGTTCCAGGAAGAGATACATTTCAGTAACAAATATAATTTAAAATCTATCCTGGAAAAGTATTTAGGAGCAAGGAAAACAAGAAGGATAATAAAAACAGATACATTCTATTATGTAGTGTTGCAATAATAAAGACTCAATAAAAAGGCCAGCTTTTTATAGTATACACCTTGGCCAAGCTGTCAAATTTTGATTGAAAAGTGCTTGTTTGCAGAATAGGAGCAATGTTTCTCTTTTCAAGATATATAGAGGAACAAAATGTCTGTAAGTGTAATAGCCTCTTCTTGCTTTGCCTGAAAATAGTGAAAGCTTCCATTAGCTGCTGAGGAAGAAAGGGGTGCAATGGAAACAAATTTGGAATTGGGAGAGCCTGAAATATAAACACCCACGGTTTGAAGATCCTCACTCCCTTTAGAGTAGGGTCTAGGCCCCTCAAATTCAGCTGCAGCTCAAAGTAGGACTCTGCTAGTGTGTCACCCTTGCCAGTTCTTCCTAAACCAACAAAAACCTTAACCTTTGGGAGAGGGGTAACCACCTGTGGTGAAGGTTCATTAGAGATAATGTAGGCACTGGTGACCTCTTCTTGATGGAAAATGGAGGTCCTGATCATGTTGAGGACTGTTATTCCCATTGGGGCTCATGGGATTTACATTTCTTTCTGCCTCTAAAAGTGAAGGGGTTGGGGCAGGAGGAGACTACGCACGCCAACTAAATTCCAGTGCAGAAGAGACAATGAGTCCTGTCTTGTTCCGGTCACAACTGCCACTTCCTCTCCTTCCCAACTGCTGTTATTGTTTTGTCTGGGAAGGGACCGGGGGAACTGACCAGGATGACTGTCTAAGAGATAAGGATAAACTTTACTGTAAACAGTGCTAGCTACAGACTTCTCTTGAGGAGAGCAGATGAGGTTCAGCCAAAGTGAGCCAATGCATACTCAAATGGTACAGTCCAAACTGAACATGTATTAAGCATTATGAATATGACGTCTAGGTTTTGCCAGATATGGATCTCTAAAGCACGGTGCTTAAGAAATACTTGTATATCACATGGATACTCCATCTTTCTTCAAATGTCCTTACTGGGGAGGGAGGGCATGCATGGGTATTTTAATTTTCACCCTTTCTCACCAGCCTTTTAAGATTGGGTTAGAATGGCCATTCCAGGGGAGAATGCTCACTTCTCAAAGATTTCCCAACAGGGAAGGGATTTGAACCCATGTCCCTAGAGTTCAATTTTAAGAAGTTTTGCACTATGCCACCACATTCAGCAGGATTTGTGCAAGAAGAACTAAAAGCCTTAGAAGATCTAAACAGTTGCTTTGAGAAAGGAACTTGATAATTTATATTCCTCAACTTGTTTCCCTGCCTAATATCAATGAAGTTATTTCAGAGGTCCAGAGGGGGACAACACAAGAATGGTCCTTTACTGTGGTGGCTCCTCTTCTGTAGAATGCTTGCCTGGTGCCATGATTATATATCTTTCAGCACCAGGCAAAAACTTACCTCAATAACCAGGTCTTTGACCATTAACTATCTGCAGCCTTTTGGAAGTGGAGGGATGTTTTTAATGTATCTATGTGGGCATTTTTTTGTCTGTCTGTTAATTGCTTTATCAACTCAAAGCAACTTAGATGCGAACAAATTCAATAAATTTATTATTATTACCTTTTCAGAATAATTGTGTGTGGGTGTCCACCTACCTTCACAGCAATCTTGCCACATCCTGAGATCTACTTTAGGAATTTCATCGCAGCTTCCATATCCATGTGGGAACTCAGCCACTCTGAAAACATCACGTTGCACTCTGGTTATGTTGTCACCATTGTCACACAGAATTCTGGCAAGGGATGCCTGCTTGATCTGAGTCAACTGAGATGGAGTAAACACACCTGGATTCTCATGCCATAACCTATAGTCTCACATAAAGTAAGAATAAATCATTAGACAAATCTCAATTTAAAAAAAATAATGGATAGAACATTCCATCAGAAGATGGGATTAAACTCTGCAACTATCAGAACTGTGGGTGAGAGTCAACTAAGTTGCTGCATGCATGGAACATGGTATGCTTGCACAATGGGACTCCAATTCCATGAATCACCACCGCCTGATGGCGAGTATTTCTTAGCTCACCTGCCATTTCGACCCTTAAATGAAAATCCAATGTCAATATATTAAAATACTCCAGTACACCAGGACTAGTCTGTCCTTTGAGAAGATAGGCAAATCGCCTTGAGCATTAAAATAACTGCAAAATGGTGGTCAGTTACTTACTGTTCTTTGTGAGACATACACTGAAATGAGCTGACAGTCTTTCAATAAAAACCCACTCCATGTTTTACTTCACTTGTATGGTGGAAGAGGGGAGGTTAGCCCCTTTTTTGGTGTTCCTATTGTTAAACAAGTCAATCAGAGACCTGAGAAGCTGTGTTATATTATTGCTTAAGACAAGGGCTTTTTTTTTTCAGCCGGAACTCAGTTCCAGCATCTCACAGGTGGGTGCCATTGCCATGATAAGGGAGGTGTTCATAGTGAGCTCCAGGACCTCTTTTTCTAGAAAAATAGCACTTTTAAGACCATGGGTAGGCAAAGTAAGGCCCAGGGGCTAGATCTGGCACAATCACCTTCTAAATCTGACCCACAGATAGTCCAGGAATCAGCATGTTTTTACATGAGTAGAATGTGTGCTTTTATTTATAAGGCATTTCTGGGTTATTTGTGGGGCAAAGGAATTTGTTCACCCCCCCAAAAAAAAATATATAGTCCAGCCCCCCACAAGGTCTGAGGGACAGTGGACTGGCCCCCTGCTGAAAAAGTTTGCTGACCCCTGCCTGGTTAAGACCATGGGTCCATAGCACTAGGCCACATTAACTGGCAGTGGCTGTCCTGGACAGACAGGGGCCTTCTGATGCTATCTGGCAATGCCATGGATGGAATCTGTTGCTTCTGCATGCAGAGCAAATGCTCTACTGCACATCGTTCTGACATCTAACAGCAGATTCTGATCTATATTCTGCCTGCCTCCCCACCCCCAACCAATTCCTACATTTTTACCACAGGGTACTCTTCCTCCTATACTAGCCTGTGATGGTAACTGAAAGACTAATTAAGTATAAGAGAGATACACAGCCACTATAGCTGATTATTGTTAAGATGGTGAAATTATTCATTCTGAATTATTTTTTATTTTCTACCAAAACTTACCTGTCCCCATCTCGGAGACGCTTAAACTGTGTGCTCAGGAGACACATCAGCGTTGGTCCCAATCTGCTACCAGGAATTAAATCTTCCACCATAAGAGCAGGAAACAAATCTATGTTCAGTGGTGAACCATATAACCTATTACAAGTAAGATGAATGATTGAGGATTTATAAAAATGAATTCCAAATATTGTTAAATTTCTCCATAAATATACCATATTTTATAAATACCATATTATATTAAGGACTGGTTAACTACAATAGGAAGTCCCCCCCCCTTTTTTAGTAATGTATACAATATATTTTTGTTATTGTGTTTTGTTTTCTACATGTGTACTATTTCTTGTTTCTTCTGTTTTGTGTCTTATTTTACTCTGTGCACCTAAAATTTTGTATATTTCTCAATAAAGAATATGAAATAAAAAGTAAAAAAAAGGATAAATGATTGAGGATCATACACACAATTTCAGCCTTATACCACTTTGAAGAATGACAGCTGAAATGTCATACAGTTGGAGGTAGAAAGATGGCAGTCTGGTTTTTACTTTGGTTGCCTTCCCCTTGTGTGTTTATGTAGGACTTAATTTGAGCCAATGCTCCCATTCCCCTTTTTTCTGCACTCGCTAACTGTTTGGATGTGTACAGTGCCTTTCCTTCCCCAGACTGAGGATGAGCTCATATCTGTAGAATTAGTCAGCACAGCTTCCAGGCAGGTTTGAGCCCTTATTTCCATTTGACTTCTGTAAGCTGATTTCTAAAGCAAGATAATGTAAACCTTTGCTGTAACTCAGAAGGTAACATCCAACATTTTAAACATTAGTTGGTTCAGCAAATCTATCAAATAAATCCATCTATCTAGATAGCACAAAGGCATTCTTAGTTTTGTCTAAGGGCAGTAGTGTCATATGCAAGTTTAAATATGTGTATATAATATATTGACAGACTGCCATGAAATTAAACATTCTGGGTTGTATCCAATGCTGCTGGTTCCTCCTCCTCTTCTCTCTCCTATAGCCCAATCACGCACCTTCAAAAGCTCTTCTAAAGAATCAGGAGATCCTCTGGAGCAGATCTGGGGAGCATGCAGGGAGAGGAGGAGGAGAAGGAAAAGTCCTGTTGTGTGAGCAGGTGTTGGATACAACCCTTTGAAAGTGCGTAACTTACAATTGAGAGCTTTATTGCTTTTGTTTAAAGAAATAAGAATGTTTAGTTCCCACCAAATAAGTACATTTTTATTTTAAGTCACATTTATCTAACACTTTGGGACGCGGGTGGCGCTGTGGGTTAAACCACAGAGCCTAGGACTTGCCGATCAGAAGGTCGGTGGTTTGAATCCCTGAGACGGGGTGAGCTCCCGTTGCTCTGTCCCTGCTCCTGCCAACCTAGCAGTTCGAAAGCACGTCAAAGTGCAAGTAGATAAATAGGTACCGCTCCGGCAGGAAGGTAAACAGCGTTTCCATGCACTGCTCTGGTTTGCCAGAAGTGGCTTAGTCATGCTGGCCACATGACCTGGAAGCTATACGCCGGCTCCCTCGGCCAATAAAGTGAGATGAGCACCGCAACCCCAGAGTCGGCCATGGCTGGACCTAATGGTCAGGGGTCCCTTTACTTTACCTATCTAACACTTACCTCCTGAGTTTCTCTCTGATGTCAGGATTCTTGATTTCATTTTTCAAATCTTCAAACGTGTGAGCCGAAGAAAGGTTACAGTAAACTCTAAAATCGTGGTAAGGTGGTACTCCGTGATCTCTACCTCTTTGAATATTCATTGCGGCCAGATCTAACGCTACTGCCCGAGCCATGGAGAAAAGCCTCTCTGTCAATTCCGTATTGAGCAACTGCGATGTTACACGCATCTTACCAGCGACACCAAATAAACCCCTTAGAAGCGGGTCAATGCCTCCTTCGTTTACAATCCGAAACGGGGAGAAGAACGCTTTATGAAGAGGTATGTGGCCTTGTGGAATAGTCTCAAAGTTTTCATCCAACCGATACAGTATGGGATTGATCAGCGTGTGACCAAACCTAAAAGCGGCAGTTGCAAATTCATTAGTTATTCCAGCATTAATATTGGGGTCGTAACCTTTATATTCGCCAAGCATCTTCAATCCTACCTCTCCTAAAATCTTAGGCAGCCAGTGGCTGTACGTTATGTGTTGCATTTCTGCACCCACAATCTTGCGTGTTTCGTGATAAATTGTATCGCCGTCCCAGTGTGGGTTGAGTTTCAGCAACTCTGTGGCAATCCTGTTGTGTTCTCTGAACCACAAGGTATGCATGCTGGTGAGTCCCAGCTGTTCATTGGCGCGATGGTCGCCGGCTAAGAAGCAAGGAATTGGGCTCTCATTCTCATCCCGCATACATTCAGTTGGTGGGCCGGTAGCAAATGGGAGAAGAGGCTTCCCAGATCTCTGCACAATGCCCTGTCTCAGAAGCCCCCTGTGGCTTGCCAAATCTCTGATTTCTTGTGCCTCGTGATCCGAACTGCCATACACATTGGATGCATCGATATAGGAAGTCAGCTGGTTGATCTGTTCTCGTGGGTAAACCGAATTCATGAGAAGGGAAGTCATGCCGCTTCCGCACACCGGGCTGGAACGCACAAAAAACATGCACCGCGCTCCGTTCCTGACTCGAGGGTCGTTGGGCGGCACCATGATGGAGAAACACGGGGGGTCGTTTGTACAAACGGAGCTGCAGTGCTGGCCATCAGAAAACCTGGCTTCACTCAGAGCAGCAACGGTGGAGTCCAGGTCATGGTCTAGGAACTGGCCCCATTGCATCAGCATATGGCTAAACTGGTCGTCAGGGGTTATTGTTTCCGTCCCGATCAGCGTGGTTGAAACCAAGCGTGGCATTGGGAGTGTGTGTCCATTATAACGCCGGTTAGCTCCAATGCCCCTTGGCAAATTAAATCCGTTTTCGTAGACCGACTTCAGCAAGCGTTCAAAGGCTGTTAGGGAGGCTCCCCACATCGGATGCTGCAAGTTATTGCAGGTCCCATCATGTGTTCTGTATTTCTGGTGATAGCACATATCTGAGCAGTTATTCACACGCCTATGGGCCGTGCAGCCTGAGAGGTTAGCTATCAGATTCAAATACTGTGGAGACACAAGGTCATTATAGTGATAGCCTGAAACAGATAAGAGAGAGAGAGAGGGACGAATCAAATACTTTTTAAGTCCTGGAAACAAAAATGCTTTAATCAGTTTTAACCATGTAAAATCTACAACACTGATAAACTAATTAGTTGGGGGGCATTTTAAATCAGGGTACTGTGAGTTAAGGGGCACAGTTCTTTACCTTTTGAGGCTCTTTTGGTTCTGGTGTGTTACTGCAATAGGGAACGGGAAAGAAAATATTAAAGATAGCCATTTTCTTTCGGAAAGGAGGCACAGGAGCTATGATGAATGATAGCTTCTGTTTATTATATCATAAGCTAGAATGCTCCCTCTTTCGATATCTCAAAAGGTGTGACATTACTTGATCTATTAATCAACCAGTTGACTTCACACACAGTCATTACTGAGAATACAGCCCCCCTTGAGTACAATGGGGCTTGCCCACGAGGAAGTGGGTGTAGGGTTGCAGATCACCTTTAGGAGGTAGCACAAAAATTATTCTTTTCCTAGTAGTATTTTTTAAAAAACTTACTTAAAGTAATGGGAGACAAGCTACAAATAACTAAATCACAAACTTTTTTTTATTTTAAAAAAACTGATCCACCAGTGCCCTTGGTTGCACATAATGCTGGCATGGAATGCTGGCAATGCTATGGAAATAATTTGTGCATGAGCTGCAGCTTCCACAATCCCTGTTTTGCTTCCTTGGTAGGGCAGCAGCTTAGGGATTATGTATTTTGTGACCTGTTTCTCTCAAACAGACATCTATTAGAAGCCAAGGCTTATTTGTAAAAAGAGACAATAAGAAAAAACTAAGATCATTTCAGCCATATCCAGTATGATTGTATTATTGCCAGAATTGTTTGTGAATTACTTTTTAAGAATGATTAAAATTATTTTATATAATATTTAATCTAGAAATGTTAGGATTTTATTCACAACTATACTTGAAAATGGTTTGTTTCGACAAGACTGCTATCAAATATATCACAACAGTTCCACACACAAAAATGTACATTGTCAAAGTCATGATCTGGATTTGGAGAATGCGACAAGACAATAAACGACTCAGTATATATTATCTGTTTAGTCCGAATTATGTGGAGAAATCTGGGTAGTTGAGTTACTCTGGTAACGTTTCAAAACCATGAAGCATAGAACCTTGTGCTGAGTTCAGGGTTTTGAGTTTAAGTTTTTAGTATACCTTAATAAAACTCACAATTACTCAAAACAGAAGAACCATCCTAAGGAAAAGTATTTCTTTTCACACGATCAACCTGGCTGCAGCAGTTCATTACCTGCCAAGTCCTAGCTGTTCTGCCTTTCTAAGATTTTAGTATAGCTTCCAACTACTTTGCAACATGCCTCAAGCACAGATAACTGCCAAAAACAAGGCCTTGGAGGGATTATTAAATAATTGCTTTACAAATGCCAATTTAGGTTATGCTGATACATTCAGACTAAGGATATGGGTATTCCACCGGGGCAATTATTAGGCGTTGTCAGAAAAGGTGATTACAAAACACGCTTTAAGCAGTGTGGATATAGAGTTGCTCATATCCTCAAGCAGCATTCCACACTGGAGGGAAAGAAGTAAAGAGTCATATGTGTTTCATTTGTGAAACCCTCGGATGAACCTTTATGGTGCTAAAACATCTTATTTGCATTTTGCTTTCAGAATAAAGTATGCAGTTTGAGAGAATAGAGACACTTCGAAAGATAAGAATGAGGGGAGGGAGAGAAAACATTTTTTTTAAATCCCGCTATGTATTATTTTTGAATTTAACCTGTTGTGTAGGTGCTATTTGAGGCACTTACAAAAGTTTCACATCCTTCATTCCAGCTCATGGAGTCTACACCACTCTTTTCAGCTGTTCGGTGTCAATGCCATGTGTCAATGGCTATTCCTTCATTTGGGGCACAAACTATCTGAGCCCCAGCCTGCAGTTCAAGAACCCTAGCTTCAAATTCCTAGCCTGTTCCTTCACCCACCACAACTTTCTTCCCACCCAAGAGCTTTATGTTTGTGATGAAACGTTTAATTTTACCCCCAAAGCACCTTTTCTGGAGGGAAAATGAAACCAGGTTGCTCACCACCATTGCTTTTCACTTTGCCGGAAGCAGTTTAGATCAGAGACATCTTCCTGGCGCAAGACTTTTTTTTAAAAAAGAAGGTTTCAGATGTGCATTTTATTTATTATATACAGCTAAAACCCTACGCTCAAGATACACCAGCCGAGAGGACAGAGGAGGTGGAGAAGGCCCACTATGCCAAACAAGGAACACAAGGCATGCCACTGTCACAGGTGGTACACTGGCAGAGATTCTCAAATCTAGCAATGGAGCTGGCATAGCTGGGACTGGCATGTCCACACCTGCCAAATCCACCTTTAGAATCTGGCCCTGATACCAATGATGGAACTCACAGGAGGGATATGTTTGCCACTAAACTGATTTGAAAACAAAAACCACACAACCCACAACTGACCACCAACTCCTAGTCCCACAACAGAACACAGGACTTGGCATAACACACATGACATAACTCTACACCCAGTGACAGCACACAACATCTGTATATAAGCTTCTGACAAAGAGGCCAAAACCTGGACAATAAGGCACACAGCGCTGGACTATGCCACTCCAGGCTAATGTCATGCATAATTAGAGCACACAAGGCAAAAGCACTGACTTGTTCCATTTAGGTCAACCATCAGACCATCTTGCACATGTTCTTGAATTAGCTGCAATGTTCTTTCGAATATTTCTCCAGCTCTCGCTTGCTCAACAGTGTAAGGATCTCTTGGGTATCGAAATAAGGCCAGCAGATCATTTGGAGAACGAGGGCGGCTAATAGATGAAAACAGGAAGAAGACAAGTAAAAGGGTAAACAGAGCCATCCAGATGTGTGCGATAAAGCGGCTGTGCCCTTAACACTATGTGCTGACTGGTTACTAATATGAAGACTACGATCTATAAAAGCTCTAATTGTTATATTAAATCGTCGGCAACAAGTCGTTCATAAATACATACCTTGATTGCTTATCCCCCAAATGGCAAGCAAGAAATAAATAAATAAAGTATCAGCAGCTGACAACTTCACATGGTTTGTTGAGTAAGGACTGTCAAGCATGCTGCACAACCACAAAACGAAACAAGGAGAAAAGAACCCCTTGTTGACACATTTCACTAGATTCACTGTGGACTGGAGTATACAAAATCTAAGAAAATGTCTCCATCACATGCATTGGGCAGGACTCTGCTAATGAGCCCCATCAGCGAGAGCCTTTCATTTGTGCAATGGGGCTTTCCCATCTCTTCCCTCCCCCAATGTGGCCCACAAAATTGGGTCTTTGGGAGGGGAGAGGTCCGGAGAATCCACAGAACAGCTCACTGGGGTGGAAGGAATAGTTCCAAAAGACTTGAGTGGAAAGCTATACATGTGCACAACTGGGATCCTGAAAGTATGCTTCAAAACTTGAGAGTTGTTCCCAAAGATAAGCTAGTGTTGTTTCAAAAGGGGACAAGTGTACTTTGGCATGAGATCATAGGGACACAAGGAGAGCCCTGATGGGATGGAACCGTGGTCCATCTACTCCTGCATCCTGTTGCCACGGTGGCCAACCAGATGCCTATGGGAAGCCCATGAGCAAGACCTGAGGACAGTAGCACTCTCCCATCTTGGGAAGTATACTGCCTCAAACTATGGAGGTAGCATACACCAATTGTGGCTAGCAGCCACTGATGGCTTTGTCCTTCATGAATTTGTCTCACCCTACATTAAAGGCATCCAAGTTGGTGGCTGTAACTGCAGCCGCTGGAGTGAGTTCTCGGTGTGTGCTGCATGAAGAAGTACTTTTGTTATTTAATAATGATAGTAATAGTTTTATTATTTATACCCCACCCATCTGGCTGGGTTTCCCCAGCCACTCTGGGCGGCTTAAAGGGGTAAAGGGGACCCCTGATCATTAGGTGCAGTCGTGGACGACTCTGGGGTTGCAGCGCTCATCTCGCTTTATTGGCCGAGGGAGCCGGCGTACAGCTTCCAGGTCATGTGGCCAGCATGACTAAGCTGCTTTTGGCGAACCAGAGCAGCACACGGAAACGCCGTTTACCTTCCCGCCGGAGCGGTACCTATTTATCTACTTGCACTTTGACGTGCTTTTGAACTTCTAGGTTGGCAGGAGCAGGGACCGAGCAATGGGAGCTCACCCCGTCACAGGGATTCGAACCGCTGACCTTCTGATTGGCAAGTCCTAGGCTCAAGCGTTAAAAACCTCCCCATACAGAGCTGCCTTCTAAAAGTTGTGTAATTCTTCATCTCCTTGACATCTGAAGGGAGAGCATTCCACAGGGAGGACACCACTACTCTTCCTGGTTCCCTGCAACTTCACGTCTCACAGTGAGGGAGCCAGCAGAAGACCCTCGGAGGAGGACCTCAGTGTCTGGGCTGAGCGATAGGGGTGGGGACGCTCCTTCAGGTATACTGGGCTGAGGCTGTTTAGGGCTTTAAAGGACAGCACCAACACTTTGAATTGTGCCTGGAAACATACTGGGAGCCAGTGAAGATCCTTTTGGACCGGTGTTATATGGTCCCGGCAGCCACTTCCAGTCACCAGTCTAGCTGTTGCATACTGGATTAGTTGTAGTTTCCAGGTCACCTTCAAAGGCAGCCCCACGTAGAGCGCATTGCAGTGGAGAATAGTAGTACTTCCTTTTTTTCCTCCCTCAAATAGTTGTACAGCTTCTATGGGGAAGATTTTGAACTGGTTGGGCTTCTACAATTACTTGGAAACTGGAAAAGCCACATGGCTCTGATTTAGGGAATCGGATACACAGCTTCTGCACTTCCAGTCTCCAAAGAGTCAGCGGGCCTTAGACTAAGTGCTCCCCATCCTCCAGTCCATACAAACAATAGAAATATCCCAGAAGCTTAGTTATGCCTCAGTGGGAAAGCATTTTGTGCTACACCACCCACTGAGATTGCAGGCAACTGATGTGTGGATATGCCTATATAGGATTACTTGTGAAGAGAGGGGGATTTACAAGATGTAGAGTATCCAGTTGATCTTTGAGCAAAACTGCCATGTCCTCTCAAGCTACTGTTACAAAACGAACAAGTAATAAACCAGTACACTGTCATGATGAAATAAAATAAAAGTAAAACCCTCCAGACAATACCTGTCAAACAGATGTGTACGGGTTGAGTTTATTGCTCTGTCAACAGTAGCAATTGCTTCAACAATTGAGCTTGCTACAAACTGATCTCCATTTCGACTGACATCAGGAACTAGAGAGAGGGGGGAGGGGAAAAAGCTGCAAATTTATCCACATACAAAAATGACTCACTATAAGCAAAGTCTAGACACGACATCATTTTTGTATTACAAATCAATCTCTTTTTTTCTAAAAAGTTTTACTTTTACAGCTGAAAATTTTCAATATATTGAGAACGTCCTTAAAGAAAAAACAGATTGCATTGGGAATGCCTCCATTCTTCTACAAGTTCAATGAAAAGGTATAAATTACCATTAGTATTTGTTCTTTGTTTTGTAATACAAAGGTGTTAAAGAACCCCAAACCACAATGCCATATAAGCCAAAGACACACTTAAAATATGTGAGCCATGATAGATTCACACTGTCTAAAAGGCTCTGGGCTTTTTCTTGATCACTTGTTCCCATTACCTTCTAAAACAGATAGGAGTTTCAAAGGCAGTGCATTGGAAGAAAGCAAGAAAGAAGAAAGAAAGCAATCTCTGACTCTTTAGGTCTTCCGAAAGCAAATCCAGGGTTCTCAGCTGAAGCATGTAATCTTATCTGTATCTTAGCAACATTTCTGATCTAGAGGGGGGGGAAGGCTGGGTGGTGTCTAGGAAAGATGAAAGACTCCTATTTCTTCTCCAAGCCCAGGAAAGCATTTTATCTCTTCAGTATTCTCAGTCTCTTGAAATTCTGCCACAACTTCCCTGCACACCTTCCTTCTAATAGTGAATGCAAGTGGTGAGTGGCTGAACTGTAGCCATAACAGCCACTGAGAAATAAGGAGGAGGTATCAGCAAGCTTGTGGAAACTCTGAGGTTTGCAGAAGTACAAAAAAACCCCACAGCCCAACCCTTTAAAATAAGCCAGGTGGAACAAACCTCGCCAAAAATAGCCCATTCCAAACTCTAGATTACCTTTCTAACAGCATCCTCTGAAACAGGAGACAATGATGTATATTTTCTTATTAGTGAATTTGCTGGCGGACACCTTATTATCGAGCCATCCAAAGAATAATTAAATATGCAGTAGAAATTATCTTCCCTTGGTGTGCCTGACACCTGTGTTTCAAAATACCTTTCCATTTCCCTCATTCCCTGCAACCCTTCCCTTTTAAAGTAAAGGTAAAGGGACCCCTCACCATTAGGTCCAGTCGTGACCGACTCTGGGGTTGCTGCGCTCATCTCGCTTTATTGGCCGAGGGAGCCGGCATACAGCTTCCGGGTCATGTGGCCAGCATGACTAAGCCGCTTCTGGCGAACCAGAAGTTTTTATAATTTCTACATTCTACCACCACTTACTGCATTGCCAGTGAAGCCTCTTCTCTTCTGAAGATCCTGGTAATTTTTTTAGAGAGAGACTTCCACACCAACTGCAGTTTATAAATCTTACCATTTACACTTAGTACCATACTAACTGAAGAATATCCAATTGTATTCCTTGCAACACATTCGTAACGGCCTTCATCCGCTGGTCCAACATCACGAATGGTAAGAAATCCCTCAGGGCTAACGTGAAATTTTCCACTTTCAGTAACTTGAACACCATCCTGCAGCAAATCAGAAAGCCAATTTAATTTACCGTTTTAAGTCCACCTGCTGGTGATAATCAAACACTAACAAACTTAAATAAATTAAAAAATACATTGTATTAATAACGAGAGCTATGCATGAAGAATATAGGATGGGATTCAACTGTAAGCAGAAGTCCTGTGTGTCCCTCAAAATTGGCTCCAGAACCCCCCAGAACAGCATGCAGGGAGAAGGGATTGTTCCTTTTGCAAGCTGAAATGTTTGCCTTCGGCTGAAGTTGAATTCCTCCCATACTATTACCAAGTAGGAGGGCAACTTCTGAGTCTCGTATATTCAGCATTTCATTTATAAATTACAGTGCTTTGTATAATTTTAAAATTTATAAGCATGGAGATTGGAGGATGGGTCATAGCCAAATCTTTTCACAGAATTGAGAAAGCATTAGAACTATTATTTCCCTCCTGCTTACTGTTCCAAAGCTGTCTTCGACCATTCTTGTTCCAATTTGTCTTCCTTCCCTTTGTCAAAGGCTTTGCTACACATTGTCACTTCCTACAGTTTAATATTCCAGGCTCTCAAATGAGGAATTTCTCTTTTTTCCAGTATTTTGCATTTAAAGCCCTTGCTGCTAATATCATATATATAAGCTCTTTGCCTTTAGGAAGCATATTTTCCAGATTAATTGCATTGTTAAGTACCTGCAGTTTGAATAACTTTTCCAAACACATGGTCTTAGAAAGAAGTGAAACTAATAATTTATACCAAGGCGACGCAGCTGTCAGCTACCATATGCTTTGTAAAGAATGAACTACACAGGAATCTGAAAACCCATTCTTATTATAAACACGAGTTTATTACCTTATTCCATGTTATTACTGGTTCAGGCTCTCCTTGAGAACTGCATGGAATCTGCACATTTGTGCCAACTACTACTGTCATATCACTTGGAACATTACCAAACACAGGGGTTACTAAAAAAAAAAAAAAGGTTGCACAGAAGCAATGACAAGTGGGTAAAAGTCTTTAAACAGAAACATTCCCATTCATCGAGGCTACAGTTGTACGCCCACAAACCGGAGGCTAAGCCCCACTTAACTCAAAATTGCTTAAGTCTGAATAGATATGTATAAGATTATATTACGGTAGTACCTCGGAAGTCAAACGTTATCCGCTCCGGAAGTCCATTCAACTTCCAAAACGTTCGGAAACCAAGGTGCAACTTCCGATTTGTTGCAGGAAGCTCCTGCAGCCAATTGGAACCCGCATTGGACTTCGGGTTCCAAAAGAACGTTCACAAACCGGAATACCCACTTCCGGATTTGTGGCGTTCGGAAGCCAAAATGTTCGACCCGCAAGACTTCCAAGGTACGACTGTATAACAGGGCAATCCTATGAATGTCGACTAGAAATAAGTCCCTTAGAGTTCAACGAGACTTAGCTCCAGGTGTGCAGGATTGCATTATAAAGTACGGTGGTACCTCGGTTTAAGGATGATTTGGTTTACGATCTCCACAACACCAGAAGTAGTGTCCCGGTTTTAGAACTTTACCTTAGTCTAAGAACGGAATCCGAACGGTGGAAGGGCACTGGCGGCGGGAGGCCTCATTAGGGAAAGCGCACCTCGGTTTAAGAATGGTTTCAGTTTAAGAATGGACTTCCCGGAATGGATTAAGTTCGTAAACTGAGGTACCACTGTAAAGGTTTTTACCTTGAAAACATCCCTTTCACCTAAGAACATTCCTGCCAGTAGGAGGTTACTTCACGTTAATACTCTTAAAAAATTGGGCCTGTTTTATGTACAAAATAATAATTCAGTATCATTCAACAATTATTTATGGAGGCTTCAGCAGCAATAGACAGAAAAACAGGCAGCGTTGCCCCACCCTCCTCCTGAGAGGAGTATCACTGCTGTTTAAGAGGAGCAGGCAGGAGGATGGCCATAGCAGGACTCTGCGGGCACACTGGCAGTGCCAATCTGCTGCTCCCCCTGGGACACCCCTACAGCCCTCATTTTTCCACTTGCCCTGCTTCTCAAATTTGAGAAACACTCTATTCAACTTAAAAATTCTGGTGATGAAAAAATTCTGTATTTCATCACTATCCTCCCTATAAATGTGTCAAGCTTTATCTTCCTAGCTTGTCTCCAACAGAGAGATTACATCTCTCTCTGTGTGTGTGATAAATTGAACGATATATCAACTGTATACTTAATGGTTCTTAACATGTGCATGTTCAAAAAATGGAAAATCTAGTCTGATTTCAAACCGAAAGGTGGTTTAAAACATATTAACAATCTGGATGAACATGAGTTTTTGTGAACATACCTCTAGGCTGTACAGTCAGATGAACAGCAACTCTTTGAGATCCTACAATGTTAACAGCTTGACATTCATACTGGCCTTGATCATGTAAAGCAACTCTGGAAATCCTCAGTGTTCCAGATGATAGGACTAAGTGTCTTCTGTCTACAGAAAGTTGGCTTCCTGAAACACACAATTATTTTTTTCAAAAAAATGAAAGTATTGCACCATTGATTTGACGCTAGGTCAACAATATTTCCAAAGCATTCTTCGTTCTGTCAACAAACACTCTGTGAGGTGAGTGGGGCTGAGAGACTTCAGAGAAGTGTGACTAGCCCAAGGTCACCCAGCAGCTGCATGTGGAGGAGCAGAGACGCGAACCTGGTTCCCCAGATTACGAGACTACTGCTCTTAACCACTACACCACACTGGCTAAGAATGATACCAGAAATGATTATTGCGAAAGAATAAGTCAAAACTGATTTCCTCTTACAATTGTATTGTCTTAATTCCATTGCAGAAACAGTAAAACACTTTTGAGATAATGGAAGATTTTTAAAAAGTGAAGATTAATATCAAATATCATCATGTACTAATACAGCAAATGCTGTCTACTATACTTTTTACATCTTCTTCTGTGCCTGCTCTATTTTAATAAATATATACAAATTTTGAAATAAAACAATAAACTCTAGCTTTTCACCTTGATCATGAACAAATTACTTGGAAGCATATCCTAGTGAAATCAACAGAACCCAGTTCAAAGTGATCAACACAGTTCTGCAGGTTCTTTAATGCAAGTGTAAACAGTAACATGTGTGTATTTGAGTTCTTCCACCTGCTTCCTCTGCAGCAGCTGCAGAGGAAAACAAGAGGAAAAATCTGTGAATGGCTGAAACTTCTGCACCTTCATATAATATATTTAGAAGAGGAATATCTTCACAATCATGTAAACATAAGTTGCTTGGACTTCAGATTAACTAATAACATGTATCTGAAGGAGGTTTCAAGTCATTATCAACTAAGAAAAAAGCTCAAATCTTGTCTCTATTTCAGATACATAAATTATAAGTGATTAGTGCCTACAATTCAAAGCACAGTGGTACCTCGCAAGACGAATGCCTCGCAAGACGAAAAACGCGCAAGACGAAAGAGTTTTCCGTTTTTTGAGTCGTTCCGCAAGACAAATTTCCCTATGGGCTTGCTTTGCAAGACGAAACGTCTTGCGAGTTCTTGCGAGTTTGTTTCCTTTTTCTTAAAGCTGCTAAGCCATTAATAGCCGCTAAGCCGCTAATAGCCGTGCTTCGCAAGACGAAAAAATCGCAAGATGAAGAGACTCGCGGAACAGATTAATTTCGTCTTGCGAGGCACCACTGCATATGTAATGGTCACATAACATGTGTCTGTAACCTGTTAAGGAAAAAAGGAAGGAGATAGGGTTAAAGTTGATGGTTGTATCAAGTCAAGTTGTCCCATTCACACAAGAGCATCCATTTATGCAACTGAACTTTGGGAGGCAGGTGGGAAGAGAGATTCAGAGGTAGGAGAGAGGTGGGAAGTTCTGTTGTATGAGGGAAATCTTCCTTGGATAAAGTCCTAAGCCTAGAAATCTTCCAAGTTAATCAAAAGGCAAGAGCAACATGTGGGACAGAGGTAATTTATGGAACAGCCAAAGAATGGAGACCATCTGGCCATACCCAATAATGACAAAATTCTCTTGAGCTAGACTTCAGGGGCTCTTAAAGCCCAACTCAAATGAGAGGTGAGTTTTTGAAACTTTCAGTCACCAAGAACAACTGTTACTAGCAAAATCAGGGAAACTGAAATAGACATAATTTCTGCTAGGTCACATAATGGCTTGAATTTTGCAAAAACGTATTAATTTTTTTCAAGGTGTACAAATTTCTCCCCAGATCTAAATTCTTACCTCCTTTAGTCCAGGCAATGACTGGCTGTGGATATCCCTGGGCCTCACAAGGGAAGTCAACAGTTTGTCCCTCAATTACTATTCTGTCTTGAGGAGTCACAGTAAACTGAGGTACGGCTTTGTGATAAAGAGAAAATGGAAAAAGAGTCAGAATATATACTTCGGACTACCCCCCCCCCAATAGCTCATGGAACCACAGAACATCAGTACTTTAGATTGTAGATCTAAACGCCACGTACCTTGAACAATGATAAATGCAGTCGCATGGATGCTATCAATGCTGTTGGTTGCAAAACAGGCATATTCTCCACCATCTTCCTGCTCCACGTTTTGGATGTAAAGCCCTCCTGACGGAGTTATGGTGATGCGCGGGTCACTTGGGAGAGGAGTTCTGTCCCCTTTAGTCCATGTGATCCGTGGCTGGGGGTGACCGGTTGCGCTGCATTCTAGAGTGACACTTTCTCCAACCAGCACCTCTGTATTTTGGGGGTGAATCACAAAGCTTGGCCTAGCTGTAACAAATGGAAGAATGTTTAAGATACCCTCTGTTAACACCAGTATTCTGGCATTTAGAGAAATGAAACGAAAGAAATGTACACTCTTTAAAAGAAGTCGCTGTATCGTATTGTTTTTCAGCGCCTTATTAAATTAAGGACACGGCTAGTCAACTTGGGTCATGTTCATTCCATATATAAAAGCTGAGAAAGGAGAAATTTCAAGCACAACAGGAGCGGACAGGAAAAAGCAAACTGAATTTTCCCTTGATCACAGTACAATGGTAGCTCGTGTTACATACCGTCCCTTTGCGAACACTTCGGGTTATGCGCTCCGCTAACCCGGAAGTAGGTCTCCTTGTTGTGAACTTTGCCCCGGGATGTGCTGTGGCAGCGGCGTGCGCGCAGCGGGAAACACCATTAGCGAAAGTGTACCTCATGTTACAAGCGGTTTCTGGTTACGAACAGACCTCTGGAACCAATTAAGTTCGTAACTGGAGGTACCACTCTAAAACTAGCAGTAGGCAATGTGATGGGGCCATAGGAGCCAACTCCTAGGGGCCATGGGGGGGGGGGTTCGGCCCCTGCATTAACTGACAAGTGAGATGCTGCTGCTTACTGAGGAGAGGGGGAACTGAGACGTGACACAGAGACTGACAAAGTGCAAAAATAGCCACAGAAGCACCAGATTGATCCACCAGTGCATTTCTACTGCCCCAACATCCCTGCCACCTTGGTCTCTCCTCCTCCTTCTCTGGAAGCAGTAGCAACACAGTCATCAGGAGGTCAGATGAGCACCGTTTCCCTGCCATACCTTCTGCAGTTGACTACAGTGGTACCTTGGGTTACATAAGTTTCAGGTTACACACTCCGCTAACCCAGAAATCGTACCTCGGGTTAAGAACTTTGCTTCAGGATGAGAACAGAAATCGTGCAACGGCAGCACAGCGGCAGCAGGAGGCCCCATTAGCTAAAGCGGTGCTTCAGGTGAAGAACAGTTTCAGGTTAAGAACAGACCTCCAGAACGAATTAAGTTCTTAGCCCAAGGTACCACTGCACAGCTGTTTATCCCTGACTGCTTTTTTCTTCCTGCAGCAGTTGTTCCTGGCAACTGAGTTCCACTAGGAGAGTGCTCAGCTCCCACTCGCAACTAATGCACTTTAAATCTCACCCACCCCCTGTTATATAGGCCCTATATCATAGGGATATTATTATATTATAGGGAATCTGGTGTGGCCCTAAATATTTCTGATTTCACACAACTTCTAAATTTACAAAATAAAAATAAAAGGAAGACCCTGGTCAGGCTGTTTTGTGTGTTCTAGATCTGCAATGGGTCATGCAAATTATATTGTACTATTAAGCTTATCTCTTTGATTAAGAGGTATGCAACATAGTATTTTAAAAAAATGGCATTAGAAACCTACACACCTGGTGAACCAAAGTAGCGTAGAGTAACTTCTTGAGTTTTCACTTCTCCTGCCACATTTTTGGCCATGCACTGGTAAATGCCTTGGTCAGTCTCTTGAGTGTTCTGAATCATGAGCGTGCCATCATCGAGCAAGTTCAAACGGGAATCCGTTTTCATACTGAGCTCATTACTATGGAGAGAGAAAACTGTGGGACTAAGAACCTTTAATTTATAAGTATTCTAAAAAATTACCCAAAAAAACTGAGCATGAATTTGTTCAGTGTGTTGTGTGTGCAGGCCCTCACAGAACTGTATAAAAGGAAAAGATTCCAAGGGTCATCTAGTTCTGCAGGAATCGCAGCTAAACTCAAATGCAAACAGTTTTTGCAAGTGATCTGATGTTGGTCAATGAACTCTTATTAAGATGAGTCTACACAGAGAAAATTATTTTCTAATAATAATAATAATAATAATAATAATAATAATAATGTTATTTATACCCCACCCTCGGGCTCAGGGCGGCTAACACCCGATATAAAAACAAATTGACTGAAATACAACTTAAAAACAAGATTAAAATACAACATTAAAACATTAAAATACAGCCTCATTTAAATGGAAACTCAAATCAAAAACTTTTTTGGGGGGATGAAAATGTCAAGTCTTCACCAAGCAGCCTTACTTGTTCCGAAGCCAAATAATTTCTGGTTTGGGATTGCCTTCAGCCCTGCAAGTGAAGTAAACGGTGTTCCCTGAGGTAACATCCACATCCTGAGGCTCTGACGTAATTCTTGGTCTCTCTGTATAATCAACAAAGCATTTTTTTTTATGTGACTGAAAAATAAACTATGAATAGGTTAGCTCTTCCATTTTAACATAAGGTATAAACGATTAGCTCTCACAGATGAAGCTAGGTGCTGTGAACCTAAACACTATTAAGCATAACATCAGTTATTATTTTAGGCTAATAATAAAGTTTTAATATATATTAACAAAAAAGTTTACAGTACGAAGATCAATATGCCATGCATTGCACAATTTCTTTAATGTCTCCTTCTAAGAACAATTTTAAAAATGCAGTGTCATACGTAGTACAGCTGTCTCAAATAACTGTACCACCAAGAGTTTTCAGACTTTCAATGCAATGACAGAAAAACCGTCGAGGTAAAAAGAACCACATGAGGCATCATTTAAAACACATAACAGTAGACCTTCACAGCTTGCTGAACACAATACTTAAGATCCCTGCTGGAGCAGAACAAAGGCCTAACTCACCCAGCATTCTGTCCTCACAAATGCTTATGGGTAGCCGCAAACTCAGACATCAACTATGTTATGTCAGGTTCCTGACAATACTCTTGTTTTTGCAGTCCCAAGCAGGCAGCCAGAACAGGTTGTTTATTAAGTCGAACGGGCCACATGGCTGGCTTGGTTTGGTGGTTCACAAGTCATGCAGGCCTGGCTTAAAAGTATCCTGTATCTCTTTCGAGGGTTTTAATTTCAGCTCTGTTGTGTTATGTGTATCAACGCCACATGAATGTTTGGCTGCTTGCCTAGAATTTCTATCCTCACATTTACTCAGCCGTCACACGACACGTGCAAATTTCCAAGCAAGATGCCTGAATCATATTTTCATTATTATAGGATGAAGTAGTAATTCACGATTGAAAGGTTGGCGGTTCGAATCCCCGCGGCGGGGTGCGCTCCCGTTGCTCGGTCCCAGCGCCTGCCAACCTAGCAGTTCGAAAGCACCCCCAGGTGCAAGTAGATAAATAGGGACCGCTTTATAGCAGGAAGGTAAACGGCGTTTCCGTGTGCGGCTCTGGCTCGCCAGAGCAGCGATGTCACGCTGGCCACGTGACCCGGAAGTGTCTCCGGACAGCGCTGGCCCCCGGCCTCTTAAGTGAGATGGGCGCACAACCCTAGAGTCTGTCAAGACTGGCCCGTACGGGCAGGGGTACCTTTACCTTTACCTAGTAATTCACGGACATTTAAATACCCTTCCAATAATCCTTTCTGTTTCAAGATATTTTTTTTAAAAAAAGGTTTATTACATTGGGCAGTATCCAATGATGTACATAGTTCTGTTGACACAAGGACCTCTGGCTGAGCACTGGCATTTTCACCTGACTCTCTTCCCTCTGTGCATGCCCCCTCAATCTGCTCTGAGGTCTCTCCCAACCCTTTGGAAGGGAGGTAAGTCGAGCCCAGGAAGACTCTGTCTCTGGCTAGGGGACAGCCAGGAGGGGAGGAAAAAGCCTGCTTTCAGGGGCCAGTGACTTGAAGGCATTCCATGCCTCATGAAAACAAAGACGACATCGGAAGAGCAGGGTTGGACCAAATGACTCTCTAGGTCCCTTCTAACTCTACGACAGTATGATTCTATGATTTGGGGAGGGTGTGGGGACCACAAAGGGAGAGGAGATGGAGGGGAAGTTCCATTGTCCAAACCGAAATAGCAGAAACACTTTGTTGGAGACTGCCCATAGCTTTGTGGTTTATTGCTAACAAATGCCAAGAAGGGGCTGCCATACAGAATGGCGTGCTTTCATAATGCAACAAATAAAGGAGGATGAGTCAGGAATCAATGGAGTAGAGAGATCCCAGGAAACAATTAAATCGTTTATAGTTAATACAGTGGTACCTCGGGTTACATACGCTTCAGGTTACATACGCTTCAGGTTACAGACTTCCGCTAACCATGGAAATAGTACCTCGGGTTAAGAACTTTGCTTCAGGATGAGAACAGAAATCGTGCTCCAGCGGCATGGCAGCAGCAGGAGGCCCCATTAGCTAAAGTGGTGCTTCAGGTTAAGAACAGTTTCAGGTTAAGAATGGACCTCCGGAACGAATTAAGTACTTAACCCGAGGTACCACTGTATGAAGTACACATAGGCAAGATGTACTTCTCAACAAAACTTAGATATCATTCCCACCCACCCCGGAAACAGACAGATGGAGGCAAATTTACACACACACACACACACACACACACACACACACACACACAATATCAATCCATCTTACCACAGTTAAGTTCTTCTGGTGTTATTGTGGCCACTGATCTTCCCTGGATTCTCCTTGGATATTCACAAGTAGCTGCAGCTTGCGCATTACCGGACTCTGCATATGTCTTCAGCAAATCTGCTAGCCACAGTATTTCACAGTCACAGTGAAGTGCATTTGAATCCAGACGCCTGGACAAAACAACAAACTGTACATATTAATGAGATCAAGCATGACACGTATGTACTGTGAGATGCTGTAACACTATGCAGAATGCTAGTGGGAAACCTGAAAGCCAGGAGAGCCTAATTTAATTGGTGCCAGTTAAAAGTGAATTGTGACCCTTCAAGCTACAAACCTTGTACTGAATGAAGCAGTCTTTACTTGAAGAAAATTTGAGAGACAGACTAAGATTACTCTGCATCAGACTTCAGTCAGTTGCTACAACCCAAGTGCAATTAATCAAGGGGTGTGTTTAGTGAAAGATTGGGAAGGGGGGCTAAGAGACAATTTGAAAAAATAGTATTTAAAACTCTGGTGTTGCTGAGGTCCGCCTGGGATAAAATGGAATGTTGCAGCTGTAAGTTAAAATGCTGCCACTGATTCCAAATCTCCTCCCCACCCAACTCAATTTTCCCATCAAATGACACACAGATATTATTACTTGTTATTTCTCTTAAGATTAACAAACTGTGCTTTTGTACTAAATTTCTTTTTTTCCTGTGTATATTGTAATGTTTTATTGTTGCTAAGGCCATCGGCTGATGCGAATAAAGTTTTATCTATCTATCTTAAGATTAATAAACTTAAACGGTGCAGTTTTGTGATACACGAAGAAACCACCTCCTTCTGTTGTTATATTAATAAAACACAATGTGGTGAGTGACTAAAATAATCCAAAGAAAAAAGAGGAGCCAAGATTTTTAAAAGCTGTCATTATTCAGTCTACACACTAGAAGCTCATAATTGTCAAGATAAAACATGTAAAACTAGAGGTTAATTTATTTCCTTCTCCAGATGAAGCAAGGTGAAATGAAGATACGATAGGAAGAGTTCAGGCTAATGTTTAGCAGTGACTCCTGTAAAAAAATTTATGACCCTGGTCCACAGTTTACTCAACTAATGGCAACAGCACCATTACTCACTGCACTGGAATACAGGAAATTGGTTTTGGGAAAGAAACAGATGTGATGAGAGAGAGAGAGCAAGTTACTGTGACAGATCTGCAATCTTTATATTTACCAGGAATCTGTGCTAGTGGTCGTGAACGAATTGTCAATTACAACAGGTATTCTCTCTCTCTGTTTAAGATAATAGATACCTTTCTCCATTTGTAGCACCAAAGGTCAGAAAAACAGGAAGGGGCTTGCTCAGGAGCCAAATGTGTATTATCTGCTGAACACTGAGATTCTGTACCTAGCACAAATCTAGCTTAAAACACTGGCAGGTCAACGGTGAGGTAGATACTGCCTCTATCAATAGTTACCACCTGAAAATGGCATATAAATACAAGAGCATTAAAGAGTATAGAGTTAGTTGACAGAAGATTAAGTACAATTTTAAAGGGGGAAAGGAAATTTACTTACAGTCGTTTCATAGATTCCAAGTGACTAAATGTCCCGGGAATTAAATGGGATATTCTGTTGTTATGTAAAAATCTGTTGAAATATTGCATTTACTAATTAGCTGTTTGAATGCCTTATACCAGTCTTTCCCCAGTCTAGCATGCTTCCTATGTACTCCTTTTTTTAAAAAAAACATGTTGATGTATTTCTTGCTGCATATCATTGTATTTTTATAAGTAATGACCCAATATTCCTGTTAATGACTATAAAATACGTTCGAAAGTTGAGGGCATCTGGAAAAAATGTAAGTGATGATGCAATTCAATCTTATGGAAGTTTTAACTAGTAAATTGAGATTTACCCTCAAGTAAGTGCAGGGCTGTTGCCAGATTTTAGGGGGCTTTGGGCAAGGTATCCACCAAGGGTGGTATCTAGCAAAGTAGTTCTGCTAGCAAAAGGACTTCTACTTGTGCAATGGAACTTCCTCTCTTCTCCTCAGGCACCCTCCTCAAAACTGGTTTGGTGGGTTGGGGAACTCCCAGAACAGGTTTAGGGGGCACACAGAAATCCTTACTTCTGTGCAGCCAGAAGCCCTTACAGTACCTTGTCTGCGCACAACGGCACTGCTTCTCAGTCTCTTGCAGCCTCCGTTTCTCTCAGCCTTGTTCTTGCAGTTTGTTCGCTGGTCTCTCTGCTCCTACTTCCAGCTGTGCCCCTCACCCCCGCCAGTTTCTCCCACCCTGCCAACCAGGCATGCTGCGCCCTGCCAGTTGGAAGACCAAGCCGAGAGGAAAGGGAACTAGGCTGCGTAATCATAAAGTGTAGTTCCTTTCTCACTTCCTCTCAGCTCCATTTTCAAAATGGTAGCCGACTGCCTAGGCAGCGGTTGCCAAGATCTCAACAGAAACTGTGCTTGGAGATATTTGAGTGGATTTTAAACTGCAATTTATTTCCTTTGCACTGAAAAATCCAAATTGCACTTTTGCCGCGAGATTAGCAGCAGGCTGGGTGGCCAGCCTAGGGTCAATCCAGGTTGGTGGGTGGTGTGTGAGAGAGAAAGAGACCAATTTGTTCACATCCTCTCTCAAGAACAGTGGCTACAGGGACTTGGACTTCAGTTCCAATGTCCAAGCACAGCAGTGCTACTGCACAGAATTTCTTCCCAGGGAAAACTATATATACTGAGGCTACATTTTATTTAGGGCTTATCCAGATGGCAGCTTTCTTACTAGCTAATTTAGCACGGAGTAAAAGAGAGGTTCCAAACAGCATGGCGGCTTTGTGCTTTGAACTTGGGCTGTGTACACATTAATGGCTTGAAACACAGCCAGGTGGTTCTTTTTCTCAAGCCAGATCAGTGCAGCTTTAGGTAAAATCGCATCGAAATGAAGCCTTTCTTAAGAGACAACAAGACAAATATAGACTGCGGCTAATGTCACGCGTACACCACTTCCCAAAGCAGAAGTGAGAGCACCTGGATGTTGAGTAAATGGGCCTGTGTACGCTGTCTAGGATTATAAGGAATTGCCATGGGGACTGTCATCCTCCATGTGAGGGGAAGCTGCCATCTGGAAGAGGGAGGAAACAAAAATAAAACTTACAATCTTTCAAGTTTGGGAAGATGGGTAAAGGATTCTGGTTCCAATGTTTCAATTTGATTAAAGTGCAGGTACCTGTTGGGGAAGAGGAAGGGAAGTAAGACGACACAGAAACACAGGGTGCTTAATAAAGGGTCCCAAAGCAGCTGCTTTAAAAATAAATAAATGTGTACAAGTAACTTGGATTCTACAGCCATCCTGCATTGAAAAGAAAGCCCAAGCCTTTATACAACAGGTGGTGCCCATGATCCCTAATGCAGTACAAATTATCAGGTAGGATATACATCAATCACGGAGATTCAGAACATTTCAGAACACGCCTATGAATAACATTGTATTAAAGGATAATATTTGGACGTGATGTCATATTTTTGTTTATTAAGCATAGGGGGCTGGATTCAACCAAGTTGTTGGGCAACAAGTCCCGCTAACACAGCAGAACTTAACCCCTTTCCCCCTCCATGCACCCTCTTCAAATCTGTTTGCTTTTGACGGCATTCCCATATAATATATATATATATATATATATATATATATATATATATATATATATGAGAATATGTATATTCATGTATATACATATATGTATATGAATCATATATATGAATGATTCATGAACTTACTGGCCCTCAAATCAAAATGAAAGAAAAAGGGGGAAAAAGATGATTGCTTTGTGATTAATGTTTCCATCCACGAAAGAGAACATATGCTTTATCTACAGCAGACATCTTTCTCCTGTAAACAAACTACCACTTACCTCAGCATACATTGCTTACATGAAATAGTTAAGAAATGCAATTCTACATTTGTTCTCCAATGAGAAACTTTCAGCTCAAATTTAAACCTAAAAAAATAAATGTGCTCATTATGCACACATGCAGCAGACCCACTTATGATCATGTGCCACAGCAATGCCTGGGATACAGAAGTAGGGCCATTTTAACCTTCTACAAAACACTGATACAGGAAATAATTGTTTACGTCCAATATGAGCTACGGCATGCAGTTCAATTTCACATTACATGCTTCTTCATTCCTATCTCAGTGAGCACTAGAACAGAGTAGTACCTGACATCCATTTCCAGCACCGTCATTTAAATGATATTTGGTAAGAAGACTGGGATTAAGAGTAGCTCCTCTGTTTATACTAATGACTAGAGTAGGAATGTTGTCCTTCCAAGTATGGAAAAGGCAGAACATTCTACTAGTCATATTCTCAACCTTCAAAGTTACACAAAAACACACCCAGAAGTAATGACAGCTGTTTGAAAATATCTGTAAGCCTTTTAAGCTATTTTATATATATATTACTACTACTTTCTTTTGAAATATTGCACCCCTAAGAATTTTGCACCCATGGCGATTGCTCCCGTGACCCCCGCCCACATTACGCCACTGGACACAGCTATTGTGAGCAAATGTGTTATTCTGTGATTAATATTCTACCAGTAATGAACCAAGGATATGTTGCAATAACAGAGAACAATAAAAGTTACATCATTCTTTGCACAGTGAAGAATCATTTTGCAGAAGAACAGGCAGAATCTACAGAGAAATGCTTCCGCCAACACCCATTAAAATGTACCTCCACCTGATATTTAGGACAGTAAAAACATGCAATTTTTAAAAGCATCATCATGCACCTTAAAACAGAAAAAGTTCAAAAAAGAAAAGAAAAGAAAGGTGCGTGGTTCTACTTGGAGTAACAAAATCGTACGCTGTTCTGTACTTCACAATTAGGTACAACACTATTGATATAGGTAGTTAGCATCTGGGATCCCACTGATGTCACAACAGAAGTGCTTAGGAAATGAGGGTGATGGTCTGATGTCACTTCTTAAATGAATGTCTGTGTGTAACTCTACGTCATGCTTGCAACCATACATCAAACTGCTGCATCAAATTTCACCACCAAGCTACAGCAAAGCTTCCTATTAAGCAGCTTCTGAAAACCTTAGCACTGCATCAACACCACAGGAGTATGGCTGATATGAAAACTGGTGTGTGTGTGTGTGTGTGTGTGTGTGTGTGTGTGTGTGTGTGTGTGTGTTAAAGAAAAGTTAATATATTAAAATCAGACAACAATTTTGTCAAATTGGCTTCATTTTGAAATTCATGGAGAATATATCTATGGATGATGACCAGCTATGATGGCTAAACTGGAACCCTTATAATCAAAAGAAGCATCCTTCTGATTTAAAGATGTATAGGCAAATGGGGAGGCTACTTCCAACACATCTTGCTGACAAGATCCCCAGAGGTTTTGGCAGGCTACAATGACCCTTGGTCTGATCCAGCAAGTCAATTTCCTTCCTTCCTTCCTTCCTTCCTTCCTTCCTTCCTTCCTTCCTTCCTTCCTTCCTTCCTTCCTGTGCATAGACTCATGCACTGAATTATATTGACTTATGTCAATGGGATCTGAGTTGGAAGATTCAATCAATGTGATAAAGCCCATTTTAAAATGAAGATATTTTCCTGCAACCTACTCAAGATGCTGTAAATTGTGTCTGTACTGTACAGCTTGGCTTTCTTACTTTAACCACCACTAAAATGTCATTTAAAAGCATAAATATTTTATTCATTTATTTAATAGATTTCTATACCACCCCTTCAAAATACATAAAAATAAGAACAAAAATGTGGCATTAGGCATTCGTACAAACAAATACACACTGACAAAATATTTAACTACCACACCCAACAATTCTTTATGAGTTATTCTGCAGAAATTCAGCTATATCTGATGGCATACTAATATAGCAGAATCATGCTGTTGTCTACTGCACAACTGAAGTTTAAAATGCTGTGGCAGGGATGGGCAACTTGTGGCTTTCCACAAATCATTGGATTGCAGCTCCCAACATCCTTGACCATTGGCCATGCTGCCTGGGACTGATGGAAGCTCATCAAACATACTGTACATAGTTAAGTCTATAACTGAATCTATCACAGCACTAAGGACTATTGCGGTTTCACACACCCACAGCCAAAATGTACTCTTGTCCCCTTGAAATCCATAAGGAGTTCAGTTTTCTGTAGGTTACAGGGTGTGCTCCCCAGCCATATTTTTCTATATTTTGAGTTTTCCTCTGTTTGATGCAGGGTGGATAAAAATCAATGATTTTTAAAAAGATTTTTTTAAAATTTAAATCAGTTTTTTTAAAAAAATTAAATTGGATTTTTAAAATAAAATGCTTCGGGAGGAAAAATCTTTCTAAAGATAGTTTTCTATCTAAGTTACATTATAGTCCAAAGGCTATATATCAGCAAATAAGAATTTGTTTTAAGTTTTTCATGTGTGCTAAAACTCAGTCTGTTTTTTTAAAAAACAACAACATGTTTAACCACACCAGTTAACAAACATGGATACATATGCTATAATGTTATTGTTTTAAATAAATTGCTTAAATTGTTGTTAAGGAAATGATTATTTTTCTCCTTCCAATAAAGTACAGCAGAAAAGTTGTCCAAATATAAAATGTTAACTTATTAAACCTCACAATAATCTCATAATTATCTGTCTATGTATTTCTAATAGTATAACCAAATCAGTAATTTTTGATACAACTGTAAAAACTACTCTGATACTTTATTACTCCAAAAATGAAACCTACATCTGGTTGTAAATATTAAGATTATACCAGCAAGAATGAGTCTTTCTGTTAAAAAAAGAAGATTTAAATCAAGCCTTAATGACTAGTGATTTAAATCAAGTCTTACAAATTAGTGATTTAAATCGATTTGATTTAGCTCAAATCCACCCTGGTTTGATGAGCCAAAAGCATACCAAAATTAAAAATACTTTAATTGCAAAAAGTATAGGCTGGGGAAAAAATCAGAACATAAATTCTACCTGGTTACATTGAGGCAATCAGAAGTTAATTCCACAAAATTCAAAACTGTAAAGTATTTGTAAGAAACAGAAGAACTGGATCCTAATACATGTTTTAATTCTTGTTGCTATACTTGAGTCTGCTCACGTTAAGTCATTATAAAGTGAACGGATAGCCTTGAGATGTAAATCGCAAGTACAATATGAACACAGACAGAATGAATTTGACAGACACGTTTTCTGCGTATTACTAATTGCAACCATGTTGGACTAGAAACCCATTCCGTGCAGACATGCAAGGCATGCAGGCAAGAAATGTCGACCCAAAACGTGCACTTTTTCTCTGAGGCAACCAAGCAGATGACAGCACAGAAGAGAAAAGGCACTTACAGTTGTTCTAGAGAGGCAAGTCCTTTAAATGCTTGCCTGTCAATTGACTGGATTTCATTCTTGTACAAATAGCTGAAACAAGAAACAATCAGTAATATTAGTATACACAAACGAGAGCTACATTAATGTGGGATGGAATTAAGGCAACACGTGAGGACAGTTTTCCAAATACATATTAGAAAGCAACAAAACAAGACATGTATACACACCAAAAACACTTTTCTTTTCTTTTTAACTTGAGCATCTGCCTGCCATGGTCTCTGGAAGCCAAATAAGATTTTGCGCAGGATTTACGATGACACGCCAAATAGATTTTGGTTCTTTTTGCTCTTCTGGAAATGTATCTCCACAGAAATCAATTGGCAGATCTGTGGAGCATCTTTAAAGGCATGAAATACAGCAATTGTCTTCTTCTCTATAGGACCACAGAAGTCTTGAGTGAAGCTAGAATGCATGGAATTATTGGAGAAGTATTTTTTTATTTTTACTGGACTGAGATAAACTATTATCCCAATTCTAGTTCAGTAATGTTTCTACTGATATTCGATTATCAGAAAGTGCTTCATCCCAGCCAAAGGATCATTGCTCCATTCTCACAAAAACATTAGCAGATCAAAAATTATAGCCAAATGAATATACAACCCAAATGTATGAAACGCTGGTCCATCAGACTTTAGTTAATTTAGCCCTTAAAACTCTCAAAAGCCACAAAACAAGGTAAATGTTACTGGGGAGGAGTTTTATAAGATCACTAACAAATTTGCTGGTACAGAGACCTCTTATTTAATGATTAATTTCGAAAAGATTTTAAAAAGCAAAGCTCCTGCACCTTTGAGAGTTGTGTAGAAGAGATTTCAGCAGGTACAGCTGCTAAAACTTATTGTTCTACACAACAAATAAAGGTGTAGCAACCCGATCCTCTTTTGCCTCCAACCACCCTAATTTGTAATAGACTACATCACAGGGATGTGTGCAAACCTCTTGCTAAATAGCCACAGACATAAGATGGAAACTGACAGGTTAAAAAATGTCACTCCAGACACAGAAAAGAGGACAGCGCGACTGAGACTTTCCCTTCATATGTTAACTTGAGCCATTGTTCAGACACCAGAGAATGATTCTCACACCCACACAGAGAATGAATAAAACTACATAAAAGCTGCATGCCATCTTACATACCAGTACACTAAACTGTACTTTCCAGAAATGAAAGTGTTTGTTAAGCTTGTGTCTTGCTTCTTGAACACTTTCAATACACTCACAGTGTGCTTTTGGGGTGGGGCACAGCATGTATTTTTCAATCTCCCTCTTCTCTTAGGCAGGTTATTAAAATGCTTCTGTCTTAAGATAGTTAATTAAGCATTTAACTGAAGGGTCTTTTCTCTTCAGGCAACTGGGATACAGCAGTAGCTCCTATTTAAGCCTCCATCTAAGAATGACAGCTGCTGAACCAACACCTGAGTTCTGTTCTTATGGCGTCTCCAGCCTGAGCCCTTCACAGAGCTGTCCAGGGTACCACCAAAGCCTTGTCTTGTCTCTGTACTATTTAGGATATTGCTCAAGAGAGAACAGTTACCATGCATAAAGCCCTAGCCAGGGTTTTTTCCCCCAGCTGGAACTCACTCGAACTCAGTTCCAGCACATCTCAGGTGGGCGCCATTACCATTATAAGAGAAAAAGGGAGGCATTCATGATGATTTCTGGCACTTCTTTTTCTAGAAAAATTGCACTTTATCATTTCTATAACATACTAAATTAGCAACATACTTTATCTTACTTGTGATAAGAACAGCCCTATCAGTTCAACAATCAAAAAGATTTTAAATTTCCTGATCACAGAACTTTAAAAGTCTCATTTGCAACAGAACCTTGAGTCGTTCAGCTGTGTCCTTAGGCCGTTCAACAGCTACATGTTTCCTAGTGTTTTCAAGTTCTATCAATCAAACAAATTTTACAGGTCAGTTAGGTCATAGCAAGGAAACCAAAGCGATGGCTAGTCCTATGCAATGATCTTTGTCACTAATAACTGCTTATGGATATCTTATGGACAGTAACCCGCAGGAGAAACTATCCTCTGTTTCTAGATCTGACGCTGACTGCCACAGGGCTAAGGGGGGAAATATAAACTGCCATCTTCACAGTTGCAACCTTAGCTTCATTGGATAATTGACCAGGGTCAAATAACAGGCAGTCAACTGACCGGTACAATAAACCTATTTGTACTAGTTTCTTTGTTATTTCACAGAGGAAGCCAAACCTCTGCCAGTTCACCGTTCTTCTAATATTTAACTAGCAACATTATGGGTGCTATGAGTATATTAATACACAAATATTTCTTGTTTCACCGAACTGCTACCATTCAAGAAGAGTAATCAGGGTGTCAAAGGTACCTTGTGCCTAAGAACACAATACATAATTTCTTTCCCCATCTACTAAAACAGGGATGTCCAACAGTTAGATCGCAATATACTGGTAGACCCCCGGGAGGTTTTGGTAGATTGCGGTCGATTGCCAGGTCCCTTTCTGGTCCCACCCCTAAGAAAAGCTCAACAACTTTGCCCTGCATCCCCAGAAAGGTGGTAGATCGGTAGATCACTGGCAGTTTTTAATTCTGTGAGTAGATCGCAGTCTCTTGGGAGTTGGCCACCCCTGTACTAAAACATTGGAATGTTCTTACAACACTACGAGGAACGTACATGGTCTGTTTCTTTTGATTTATACCTCCAGTAGACAAATTACGTTATTTAACAATTTCCCACAAGTAGCTTGCAACCCACTATTTGTAAAGGAATGTGGTCCTCAATGGGAGGTTCCCCATTCTTGCCATAAATAACCAAGAATGCAATAATTTCAGCTTGCAGATTTCAGCTATTTCATTAAATGTGACTTATTGTTGTATAAGGGGGAGGTGGGAATGGTCACCCAAACTCTCATACACACCTGACTCCCATCTATCCAGTCACACTCACATAAACACACACTGCTCATCTCTCCACCCATCTGCCACCATTTATTCTTCTTCACAGACACAGATATGTACATCTATCCATTCAGTCATCCATACACAAACACAGCCTTCACTACAACCTGCATTAGAGCAAAGCCTCCCATTGATTTCAATGGGAGCTCCTCCCCCACCACAATACAAATGCCAACCATCAGGAAAACACTCTCTGGATCAAGCCCCCGACATAGAGGTAGAAGGGACTTTAAGCCTTTGCCCCTCACTGTGTTCTGGATCTGGATCAGGCCTCCCATATCTGCAGCTTATGTGTGCACGTGTGTGTGTGTGTGTGTGTGTGTGTGTTGCAAACTGCAAGTGCCAGGGGCCCAAACTGGACCAGGGCATCCCTAGGAGACATTAAGGGACTCTGTCTTTGCTCCCCCCCCCTTGTGATCCCGTGGACCCCCAGAAACAGAAATCCATGTTGCCAAAAAAAGTTTCCCATCAAAATAATAGATTGAGGTTGAATCCTGACAAGACTGAAGTACTGTTTTGGGGGGGACAGGGGGCGGGTGGGTGTGGGGGACTCCCTGGTCCTGAATGGGGTAACTGTGCCCCTGAAGGACCAGCTGTGCAGCCTGGGAGTCATTTTGGACTCACAGCTGTCCATGGAGGCGCAGGTTAATTCTGTGTGTCCAGGGCGGCTGTCTACCAGTTCCATCTGGGTAGGCTGAGACCCTACCTGCCTGCGGACTGTCTTGCCAGAGTGATGCATGCTCTAGTTATCTCCCGCTTGGACTACTGCAATGCGCTCTACGTGGGGCTACCTTTGAAGGTGACCCGGAAACGGCAATTAATTCAGAATGCGGCAGCTAGACTGATGACTGGGAGTGGCCGCCGTGACCACATAACACCGGTCCTGAGAGATCTGCATTGGCTCCCAGTACATTTCCGAGCACAATTCAAAGTGTTGGTGCTGACTTTTAAAGCCCTAAACGGCCTCGGGCCTGTATACCTGAAGGAGTGTCTCCACCCCCATCGTTCAGCCCGGACACAGATCCAGCGCCGAGGGCCTCAGTAGTGGCGCCCGCCCTGTGGAACACCCTCCCTTCAGAGGTGAAGGAAATAAGCAGCTATCTTCTTTTTAAAAGACATCTGAAGGCAGCCCTGTTTAGGGAAGTTTTTAATATTTAATGCTGTATTGTTTTTAACACTTGATTGGGAGCTGCCCAGAGTGGCATAATTATAGAATTATTCCAGTTACAGATAGGTAGCCGTGTTGGTCTGCCATAGTCAAAACAAAAAAAATTCCTTCCAGTAGCACCTTAAAGACTAACTAAGTTAGTTCTTGGTATGAGCTTTCGTGTGCATGCACACTTATCTGAAGAAGTGTGCATGCACACGAAAGCTCATACCAAGAACTAATTTAGTTGGTCTTTAAGGTGCTACTGGAAGGAATTTTTTTTGTTTTGACTATAGAATTATTATTATTATTATTATTATTATTATTATTATTATTTGTATTTGGGCAATGCAAATCGCAGGTGCGGCAGGCCCAGTCTGGACTGGGACTGCAGTGCAGGGAAAAAGTTTACGCTTCTACACTCACATCGGGGTCCTGGATCTGGGGTGGGTGTCAGCAGCTGCAATTCCTCCAGAAGACTAGGAGGAAATTAGGACAAGGAGGAGAAGCCCCAGATGTGAAGCCTCCAAGGGCCGCAAACAGTTTCCCAGGTGCAAGTTCCCTAGTCCTACCCTGTAGCCTCATTATGAGCCCCTTCCCGTTTTGACTTCTATTCACAATGCTGGTTTATCAGTACTGCACACACTATTGAAAGAATTAGAATCTGTCAAATTCTTTCTGATATCATAATTTGTTGGATTTTTTTGGTCATCACATTTACACCTACTGTTCTCTTCAGTGCAGATGTTAGCAATGTATTTGTGAATTATGAATATTCACAATACTATCGTGTGTATTATATTTAAGAAAATGCTTCAAGGTATCTCTCTGCTGTGCAACTGTATTAAATAAACCAAAGTGCTTTAACACATGTATAATAAAATAAAATAAAATAAAATAAAATAAAATAATAAAATAAAATAAAATAAAATAAAATAAATAATAATAATAATAATAATTTATACCCCGCCCATCTGCCTGGGTTTCCCCAGCCACTCTGGGCGGCTTCGAACAAAATATTAAAGTACAATAGTCTATCAAACATTAAAAGCTTCCCTAAACAGGGCTGCCTTCAGATGTCTTCTAAATAATACACAATTCTAAAAATACACAATTTAACCCAATTCTTTTCTTAAGGAATTAGGACCGCTCAACACTTGCCTGAATTTGAAAGATTCATCACCGAAAGAGAATTTTTACAGGTGCTAAGTAGTTGGTAGTCCACAGTATTAATTGTTATTAAGGATTTCATATGCGCTTGTGACTTTTTCATTTTGCTTATATTTTGTAATATTTTAACAAAGATTCTATTAGCATATATCTGGGTCTCTATTTAGCATGCAAATTGTTGTGAAACTCCGATTTTTATATATGCTCTGACAATATTGTCTGTATGAAGATACACCATGGTTGATGCAGATTTCTAACCCCAAACTCACACAAAAACCCAAAACCAAACAAACAACAACAACCCAAATGGAGGCTAAAGCACACACACAAAATATGGAAAGTAAGACTCCACAACTTGTCAACAATCCTCAAATGGAATTCTGTGTAACCTGGTATTTTCTCACAACTACTCACAATGGGAAGACAAATCTTACCCAAGGCTGAAACATGTTGGCTAAGAAAAATACATACTGAACCATAAAGTTATCAGCTTGAATCAGGCAACACTTTACAGGACATAAAATTTAGCATTCACACTGAAAAAAATTGAAGATCCCCACGCTTCTTTGGTATTCCAGGAACACTACAATAATCTAGATTTCTTACTTATAATAATGCCACAAATGGAGACTTTGCATCTCTTACACACAACTGACTGAAATACCATAAAGCTTTAAATAGCATTTTTTCCATACTGTGCAACACATACATCGTACCTACTTTCTTTATAAAAGCATTTCAACTTACAGATATTTTAGATTTTCAAGGTCTTCAAATGCTCCAGTAGGTATTCTTTTAATGTGATTGTTGTTCAGAAGTCTAGAAAATAGATGAAAATAGTTGTTTACTTTTTTCCCTCCCTCAGAGTACATTTTTCTGAGAAATTGCAACTGCACCACACAGAAACAAAATCAAAACGAGCTTAAAGTGATTTCTTACAACTGTTAGTTGAATTTCATTATCCTTTTCAAAATCTTTCTAAACTGTCTGGGTTCAACTGAGACAGCTGTTTAAATTACTGAGAAAGGAAAAGATCATTCATCATCATGCACTGCAATAACATTCAGCAATTTGGAATAAATTTAAAAAGTTCTCCTACAAACCAGACCGAAGCAGGCAACTGACAGCTTACTCACTACTGTGTGACATTTTCATGGAATCACAAATTGGAAGAAACTTCGAAGATATTCTATTCCAATCTGCTGCCAATGCAAGGATTCGCTAAACTAAAACAGCATCTCTCTTGGGTTGCAATCCAGCATTTACTTAACAGCCTCTATTAAAGGATAGCCAAGCACCTTGTGAGGTAGTTTGTTGAATGTCAAACAGCTCATACTGTCAGGGAGTTTGTCCAAATGTTTAGTTTATTTTTGTTGGCGTTGTTGAACCTAATCAAGGTATTGCCCGCTTATAGATTGTGGATTTTTTTCTTAAGGACCAGCATGATGTCCTTTGTGTGCTCTCTCTCTCTCCCCACCCCCCAGTGTGTGTGTGTGTGTGTGTGTGTGTGTGTGTGTTCAGCTTGAGAATACTGAATTTACTGTTCCAGAACACAATCTTAAAACTAGAAGATCATAGAATCATAGAATCATAGAGTTGGAAGAGACCACAAGGGCCATCGAGTCCAACCCCCTGCCAAGCAGGAAACACCATCAGAGCACTCCTGACATATGGTTGTCAAGCCTCTGCTTAAAGACCTCCAAAGATGGAGACTCCACCACACTCCTTGGCAGCAAGATGACTGACTTTCTACCACCTGAAGGCTGGAATGGCTTTTTGTGTCCAGTCACAAGGTAACATCAACCAATTTGGCTTCTATTGAAATTTCTAACTGGGTGTATCACCTAAACTTTTTGATGGGAGTCTAGTAGTATCTGGGGGGCCACAGGTTCCCCACCCCAGCTGTAAATATTATAATAAATTGTTAAACTGTTTACAAAAGGAAAGTAGGTTTTATGAGGGATGAAACTTACAAGGTGTTCAGATTCTTAAGCCGTCTAAATGCACCAGGCTGGATTTCTTTAATCCTATTAAACCGCAGGTCCCTGTTGATGAAACAAATTAGACTCATTAGTATAGAGATTACCATTTCAGGTCAGCATTTCAATGATCTTAAAACAAAAAACTTTGCTACCAACTTTGCTATATGTATATATTTCTCAATCCGCCTTGCTCTAATCAAAAGAGTATTCTTCAAAGAAAATGAAGCCTGTTTTGTAAACAAATACAGTGGACACTCGGGTTGCGAATGTGATCAGTGCAGGATGCACATTTGCAACCCGCAGTGCCACTTCTGTGCACGCACTGGTTGCGATTCGGTGCTTCTGCGCATGTGCAAAGTGCAATTTAGCGCTTCTGCGCATGCGCGACTGCCCGTTCTGGTACTTCCGGGTTTCGGCAGTCCGCAACCCAAAAAAACGCAACCTGAAGCGGCTGTAACTCGAGGTTTGACTGCAATCAAATTTCAGTAAGAATTTAACACTCAGCCTGAATAAAACTGAAAGCCTGTTGCCTTTTATGGTAACATGAACAAATGTCACTTTGCTCAGGTGGTATAAAATAATTAATTGCTCCAGTGTTGAATCACAATAAAGCCTAGCCAACACTACTGATAATTAGTTAAACACTTGATGATAATTAGTTAATCACAGCAGCTGTCAACTGAAGAATGCCTTTGTTTACTGCTACTAAAACAGCATTTCCCTCTCCAAATACCTACTGAGCTTTGGAAAGTTCAGTGTGTTGAGAAAGAGTCTTCAAGGTCTCTTGCTTTAAAATGGATGTAAATATACTCACACTTGCATAATAAATGCAAGGAGATAAAAACATTGCACATAGTTCTGTGACTAGAATAGTTCACATATGGCCCCTCGAGCAAAAAAATTAGACAATCTTAATACTTCTCGTATCTGAAAAAGTTTACGTAATTCTGGTTTAAATAATCTAGAGTGAGCCGAATGAAACCTATGGAAATTCTGTCCACGTCTATCTATATGACCACTCGTCTACAATTGCAACAACACCCCACACAACATGTTGCTGCACAGTGATGCATGTTGTGAAGAGTTCAGCAACCGCAACAACCCATCATTTCACAAACTTGAATACTGAAGCATTTAGAGCAGGCATAGGCAAACTGAGCCCTCCAGATGTTTTGGGACTACAACTCCCATCATCCCTAGCTAACAGGACCAGTGGCCAGAGATGATGGGAATTGTAGTCTCAAAAACATCTGGAGGGCTGAGTTTCCCTATGCCTGATTTAGAGAGATAAAATATGTGTTGGGCATGGATGTGTGTCGGCTGCTTTACAAAATAAGGATTTCGCACATAGTTGGCTGAAAGTAACTCATGTCTTGGATGGGGGAAAGAGGTCCTACGAAAGTGAGTTTCAAATAAACAAAGAAGAACACGTTCATATTGTAAAAAAACAAGACACAAAGTGATACCTATTTGATCTAATTAGTCCATCTTTCAATTAAAACCCTGAGCTTAACACCACAAAATGCAGGGGAATATGTATACCTCTCGGCACTAACAGCTGGAACGCACCAGCATACTTTCCATATAATGATATCTTCAAAATCTTGGAACTGAGTAAATCAGGGAGCTTATGTTTTCTTTGGACACTCTTTGTTCTTCCATTTAAAAAAAAACTGCCCAGAGGGCAAACTTATCTTTCAGCATATGCCAAGTTTTCAGACATGATATACAATCTCTTTTCTTTTGTTTCTGCTTTTGCCCTGTTTCTGGGGGGTCAACACAAAAATTATCCTTTACAAATTCTTTACTCACGGACGGAGCAAATTTCAAAACAATTCTTTACTCACGGACGGAGCAAATTCTAAAACAATTGTTCCACAGTTTTATGTCATATTTGGGAGAAAGGAATGAACACAGGGGTTTCCATTCAAGAACCACAATAAACAGGAAGAAAAGTTGCTTTAAAGGGAAATAAGATTTCGAGCACCTAAAAATAGGGTAGATAGGAGATATAGCTGTTATCGCCACCAATTTAATGAGAAGCACCTAACACAAGACAATGGTTAATTTTCCAGGCAAATAACAAAAGATCTGCAAGCACCAGCAAGACTACATTGCTTGTGTTTACTTTATTCTTTTTAAATTCTTATTCAAGGTCACTGAAACAGGAAATAATAAAAAAGTCATCCACACAGCAAAAATGACAAACGGGGAGGGGGGGGAAGGAATCATATAAAATATGTTATATAAACCAAGGGTGGCTAAGTGTTGCTTGTTCCACTGCAACCGGTTAGAAATAATGTTATGCCTGTATGTGGTACCTCTGGATGCGAATGGGGTCCGTTCCGGAGCGCCATTCGCACCCTGAAGCAAACGCAACCCGCCGCTTCCGCGAATGCGCGTGACGTCATTTTGAGCGGCTGCGCAAGCGGCGAAACCTGGAAGTAACCCGCTCTGTTACTTCCAGGTCACCGCGGAGCGCAACCCAAAAATGCTCAACCTGAAGCTACTTCAGCCTGAGGTATGACTGTAGTTATGAAGACCACCTCCCTCCCTACAGGCCCTCTTGGGTTGTAGTATCCTGTGAGTTTGGGAAGGCGACTCATTGCAGGAAGAAGCCTAGCACTGAGTCTGCCCTAAAACCAGGAACAAAGAGGAGTCATGGGAACTTCTACAGCGGCATCTGTCTGTGAACGGCAAACCCAGCATAGCTGCTAGGACTCCTTCCACAGGCAAGACTAAGACTCCATCTAGTCCCCTCTGTGCTATGGAAGGAACCACACCCAGAAGAGTGAAGGGAGCTTCTATTACTGGCTAGGCTTGTCTCTTAGAGACAGATCCCGCACACTGCAGGGTGCTAAATCAGCAGAGGGGCGGGCTACTCTTGGGAGTTCCACAGCTTTCAGAAGTTGAAGGCTGGCAGCCCAGAAGACAGCAGGCTCTGTGGCAGCTGCTCAGGAATTCCCTCCCCATAGAAGTGCATCAGCCAATCATTGGGACCAAACTAACAATAATAATGAGACCGGGTACAAGGCAGCCTCCTTTGTTCAATAGCTTTAGTTGTTTTTGAATTCAGATATTCATGAAAGTGTAATAAAATATATATCATTCCAAATGCTGAGAAGTGTTGACTACATTTCACCGTATTTCTAATACATTACAATTTTTCAACCAATGCTATGCAAGTTAGTTTTTGGTAACCTACCAAACCCTGGGCCACCTTCTCCTTTAATTCTGCAACTGCACTCGCTTTTCCAATTTCTGGCACAGGTGATTGTGGTTGCTACCATGAAGCTCATCAAAAACACTCTTGGGCATTTATAGCTTACCTAATACTTACAAAGATTATTTTTGTTTCTTTTTGAAGCCTTTGTCCAGCTGATTCTTCTATAAGCGCTTTGCCTATCTTTAGACAGTTCCACCAGATAAGCGAAACACATAATTATGTGCACGGCCCATTCCCAATAAATAAATGCATTAACTTTGTGGATTCTACTTTGTTTCTATAGCATTGTATAAAGAATGTTATATGGAAGCTCTTTTAAATTTAAACGCGATGGAAATTCATCTTCTGCTAGAATATTAGTTTCCATTTTTGGACAGACATATCATGCCCGATTTTTCTATTCCATTAATGCTTAAAACGGGTCTTCTCTGCTCTGGGTTATTTCCAGTACTGTATTTTTGCAACAGTTTTTTTTTTTTTTTTGGCATCCCTTTTACTAAATAGCTTTCCTGTTAGCAGAACGATGTCTTATTGAATTATTTTCTCTCAAATAATTATCTTTCTTCATACATCAATTGCATGAAGGAGCTTTACCCAGTGACTGAGGAGCAGGGCTTAGCCCCCATATGTCGATCTGTTGGCGTGGATTTCTGACTGTGCAGAGGAAGCCTATATCTGAGCAGATGCAGGGAGAAAGAAAATGGAAAGGAGTCCTAGGAGTCCTCATAAGGGAGCTGTTCCTGGAGGAAGAACTGTGAGAGGAGACACTCCATCAGGCAAGGCCTTCTTCCACTTGCCTTGTCCCACCCTCTAGTCTCTGCTTCTCAATTTGTATTGTATTATTTTATGTACTGTGGCTTGCCATTGTTTTATTGATTATAGTTTAGAAATTATTTATTGTAACTGTTGAGTGGATTTCTATTTAACTTTTATATGTTGATATTAATGATTGTTGAATGTTATTTTGTGATGTAGGTTGCTTATTTTAAAGTTATGTTTTGTGTTGTTTTTATGATGTTAGCTGCTCTGAGCCCAGTCTCGGCCGGGGAGGGTGGGATACAAATAAAATTTTATTACTATTATTATTATTATTATTATTATTATTATAGCTGCCCAGTGGGCGGGGCTAGTGGCATACATGATGCTAAGGGTGGGAGCAGCAGTAAGGGGCCCCTTCAAGCGACTGCTTTTCAGCTTTCCTTGTAGTTCCTCATACAGTCGTACCTTGAATCCCGAACGCCTTGGTACTCGGATGTTTTGGCTCCCGAACACCTCAAACCCGGAAGTGAGTGTTCTGGTTTGCGGACGTTCTTTGGAACCCGAACGTCCAACAGGGCTTCCGATTGGCTGCAGGACCTTCGGTTTCTGAACGTTTTGGAAGTCGAACGGGCTTCCAGAACTGATTCCGTTCGACTTCCAAGGTACGACTGCAGTTGGTTGGAACAACGAAGAAATGCATTTACTGTACAGTGGGCTAAGAACTTAATTCGTTCTGGAGGAATGTTCTTAACCTGAAACTGTTCTTAACCTGAAGCACCACTTTAGCTAATGGGGCCTCCCGCTGCCGCTGCACAATTTCTGTTCTCATCCTGAAGCAAAGTTCTTAACCCGAGGTAATATTTCTGGGTTAGTGGAGTCTGTAACCTGAAGCGTATGTAACCTGAAGCATATGTAACCCGAGGTACCACTGTACAGAGGTTACACAGCCACATCCTTTTGCCATAATCACTATTGCCAGTTTCCCCCAAAGCCTTGTCTGTGTAAAAGTGCCTTATTTTTACTCTGTTCACTGTTGTATAGCATGTTGCCGGCACAACAGTTCTGCAATGGGGAGTTT